GCCTTTTTATGGCTTTTAGTCTTTTCACGAAGCCGATAGAAATCGTAATGTTTCTTGCTTTTACTTTTAACTGCGGTAATATTTTAGCTTTTCGTCATGAACAAAAAGTTAAATTCTAAAATCAACTTTTGCAAACATGTCACAAAACCAAGGCCGCAACCACCTTATTTTCAATCTTGTCACGAAAAGTTTATCGCGGTCAAAATATTTTGAACGTGGGATATTGACGTTTTAGTGTGTTTCGCTGTTAAGACAGCAAAACGTTCTTACACCCAACGGCGAATCTTGTTTGAACACTGGGGATTTCCCAAATTTTAATTGGGGCATATAGGACTACATAGTGTGACGTATTTTGACCATTCACACGCAAGCGAAAATATTTGAGGGATTATAAAGAGAAATAACGCCGTATTAAAATGATAGTAATAAGTTTTTAAATAATAAGTTTATTTAATGCATCTTAACAATAAAAATACAAAAATATTCCGCTCGTTAAAGTTGTACACTTTAAATCGCGTTTGTTAGCCGCATTTCCTACTGTTCTTACTGTTTCTCTGATCTTACTGTTCCTCTGTTCCTTCTGTTCCTCTGTTCCTACTGTTTCTACTGTTCCTCTGTTCCTACTGTTTATACTCTTCCTCTGTTTCCACTGTTCCTACTGTTCCTCTGTTCCTACTGTTCCTCCGTTCCTACTGTTCCTCTGTTCCTACTCTCCCTACTGTTCCTACTGTTCCTACTGTTCCTACTGTTGCTCCGTTCCTACTGTTCCTACTGTTCCTACTGTTCCTACGTTCCTACTGTTCCTACTGTTCCTACTGTTCCTCTGATCTTACTGCTCCTACTGTTCCTACTGTTCCTACGTTCCTACTGTTCCTACTGTTCCTCCGTTCCTCTGATCCAACTGTTCCTCTGTTCCTACTGTTCCTCTGTTCCTACTGTTCCTACTGTTCCTACGTTCCTACTGTTCCTACTGTTCCTACTGTTCCGCTGTTCCTACTCTCCCTACTGTTCCTACTGTTCCTATGTTCCTACTGTTCCTACTGTTCCTACTGTTCCTACTGTTCCTCTGTTACTACTGTTCCTCCGTTCGTACCGTTCCTACTGTTCCTCTGTTCCTACTGTTCCTAATGTTCCTCTGTTCCTACTGTTTCTCTGTTCCTAGTCTCCCTAATGTTCCTACTGTTCCTACTGTTCCTATACTGTTCCTCTGTTCCTACTGTTCCTACTGTTCCTACTGTTCCTCTGTTCCTACTGTTCCTCTGTTCCTACTGTTCCTCTGTTCCTACGTTCCTACTGTTCCTAATGTTCCTCTGTTCCTACTGCTGCTACTGTTCCTACTGTTCCTCTGATCCTACTGTTGCTCTGTTCCTACTGTTGCTCTGTTCCTACTGTACTGTTCCTCTGTTTTCACTGTTCCTACTGTTCCTGTGTTCCTACTGTTCCTACTGTTCCTCCGTTCCTCTGATCCAACTGTTCCTCTGTTCCTACTTAATTCCTACTGTTACTCTGATCCTACTGTTCGTCTGATCCTACTGTTCCTACTGTTCCTACTGTTCCTTTTGCTGCTAGCCATTTGCTATTACGTTATTAATGACGTCAGTCAGGTCGTCGTACACGAGCCATGAGCCCAATTTTGTGTGAAGTTTATATCATCGATTACTAATTTTTTGCTTTTTCGGAAGAAATGTTTGTGGATCCGGATTTCACATTTTACTAGCTAAAAAATATTTTCAGAAATTATATTTTGTATTTCAATACAACTTTGTCCAGAGACTGGGAAGTTAGAGTACCAAATAATCTCTACATAACCTGGAATTATAGCAACTGAAAAAATTACGGAAAACACTAGCTTCTATAAAATCAAAAATGATATTAATTTATAAAAGGATTCAAAACACATATATTATTATATAATTCAAACATCTCAGTCAACAGGTAAATGACGGGATAGAGATGATACAGTAATTGTACCTGCAATAATATTAATTAATTATCTAAACTGAACGAACTCGTTTCTTCAAAATACTCCATTTTCTACTCATAGTTAAATCTACACATCACTTAGAAAACAAAGCCTTCATGTTACAAAACTGCAGAAAAAGGATAAGCATCATTGATCTCAATCTCTTTTATCAATATAAAAAAGATCAGCACAGAGATAACCACTATCTTATTTTTATCTAGTAATGTGTTTATCATTATTTCAGGCCAAGCAGAGTTATATGTCAGTCAGAGTGGATCCAGAAGAGCTGCTGGTAAACTTAGCGTCTCATAAAATTCAAAAGATATAATCAAAACTACACAATAACTGTAGCAATAATTATTTACACAAACAGTAACTGTTCATAAATGGAACACTAGTTAAATGATAATTGATATGTCTCAAGTATCTCTACTATCTCCTAAGCGAAAGTTAGCACGTTCATGTGGAAATTAAATAAAATTAAGCAATCTACAAACAGTTTTAAATGCATCATCATCATAAATATTTATGATCTAAAGAACACATTTAAGTCCTCTCGGTCAATTTTCACATCCCTAGCATAAAAATAAGCCTTAAAGACAAATTTTCCAACAATTCTTTTTCACAGATATTGGGGTACAGACTGATTGGCGTGTGCTTCCAGGTAAAGTAATTTATCAATACTCCTTACACTTTTGCAATAATTATTATTACTATATTCTCTAAACAAGTATATACCATCTTTCTTAACAAATTCTAGGTCAGAAAATAGCTGGAAATATGACTGAAAGTCATTAATATTTACTTTGCAATAAGATACTATTTTCCAACAGATTCCTGCCATGCCAATATTGTCAAAAGGAAGGTCCCGCGCGGTAAATATGAATTAAGTATGGCGCGGCAAATAGGACAAATCGAAGTGTGTGGCCTTTAAAGTGAATAGCAACACCTTTAAAGCGAAAACCAACACCTTTAAAGTGACGAGGTATTCCGTTAAAATGAATACCTACACCTTTAAAGTGAAGACCTACCCCTTTAAAGTGATGAGGCATTCCGTTAAAGTGAATACAAACACCTTTAAAGTGAAGACCTACACCTTTAAAGTGACGAGGTACATCTTGAAACTGAAGACCTACACTGCGTTGAAGTGAAGCTGAACGAAATGATCTCTAAAATGACAAGGAACATGTTCAAGTCAAAAAGTTTTGCTTTAAATTGACGAGGTACACCTTTGAAGAGACGAGGTGCACCTTTAAAGTGAGCATAGGCCTGCCGTTCAGAAAACAGCGGCTTCTCGTATCACGCATATCTCTCTGGTTCTCGTCCTCCTCCCACGTGTTTTACATGGCGGGAACACCGGTATGTCGAGATGCAAGAGAAACACTTCGAGAATGTGCCCAGAACATTCTAAACTGCATTTCTGGCTTGGAAACGGGTATGTAAAATTATCTTAACATGAAGTAAGATGTACTTTTGTCAAAAGGTTATAGCAAAGGTCGATCAATTGTTATCCGTAGGCTTTGTCGTTTGACAACAAAAAACAACACACACTTTGTTACTCATTTTAATAGAAGTTTATACAATGAATTTAAAAGTTTATTTTGATAAGTTTATGGGGTTACCAGCTCCCTAAAATAACTAACGAGCTAAAAACATCAGGGAGCTGGTTTAAATAGTGTAAATGAAATATTTACAGCGGATCGATGTAAGACAGTTGTACATGCGTTTGAGTGTTTGTTGACCACTTCACTTGTACCCTAACTTCTACACTATCCCAAAGAATTCTGCTGTTCCTGAATGGGCTAGGGGGTTTCCTTGATTCCTAATCAAACTCATATCAAGAATCTTTCCTTGTTTGTCTAGACTCGCAGCTGGCTACAGGTACAAACAGTGTCACAGCACACGCGACATAATCTGCAGGTGAATTTTTTAATACTTGATCACAAAAGCCTTGAACCAGCCAAATAAGTGCATTGACCCTTGCCACCCCTAAATTTCAGGTTACCTTGTTTCAACAAAATTGCCATTTTAATGTTATTTGTTTACACTAAGCATACTACTTTTCTTGCTATTTTAGGTCAACAGCAGCACATGCCCCTCAACACCAACACTTGTACTACAGGTAAGCTTAAATTGAAAAACCTATCATGAGCAAGCTTACCTATGGTATAGTACGTTTTCTTATGTGAAAACAAAACAAACCATATTAAAAAGTCTTATTGTCTTGGCAAAAAGCACATTACATTGAATGAAACAATTTATTCCTTTAATGCTATTTTAGGTCAACAGCAGCTAAGGACTGCAGTAAATGCACCTGCTGCAGGTAAACATTATGAAATAATAAAATTACAAGAACTTGTTCACATTATTAATAAATAAGTAGCCACATTCAGGGGTTTCAATAACTTTAGTTATAAGCGGCCATTGAAGATGTAATAGGAGGCTGTGACCACTAAAGTGGCTGCAAGGCCCTTCATTAATGAAATCCAAATAGACGGCGGTAGACCGCTGGTAGCCGGCTTTTATTGAAACCCCTGCACATTAAGTTTTAATATGCTATTAATTACAAAAAAAATAACTGACCACTCCACCAATGGGCCAACAAAATGAAACACTGAAGTACATTGTAAATATTTGTAAATTAGCCAAGTTAATCCCAGCTGGCAAGAGGTCAAATCAGGTGGCTATAAAAGCCTGTGATGAATGATTTTCTTGAGAACTCTGTTGGATTACTATTTCAACTGTTTCTTCTGAACAGTAACAATAATCTTGCAAAAGTATGCAAAGTAAACTTAGTTATATATTTATTTACACCCCCTTTCACCCTGCCACCAGACACTCACTCTTGCATTAATACACTGACAATAATATTATTGCTTACTTGGTTTTACTATCCCATTTTACCATAGAAAATGCCAGAGCCGAGCTAGGGCGGCTATTTAATTTCACTCCTGCAGGAATTCAACGAAAAAGGAAATTACCTACAGGAATTAAGCTACCCAATACGTGGACTCATACATTTGTATGCTTAGGACGAATGAGTGATAATGAAGTCCCAAGTACTGCCTACAAATCCCAGTTGTCAGGTGCATCACTTGGAGAGAAGAAGATAACATTTGAGAAGAAATCCTCGTGTGGCTACTTTCATGAAAAGCTGTTAGAAAGCTACCCAAAACTAAAGGAAGGAGGGGGTTACGAGCTGATGCGTACAAAGTTCAGATCAACCAGCAAATTGGAAATTTTGCAACCTAAAGGGAATGGTGGGCATAATGTGTTAGACCTTAAAGAAATGGTGTCATCAGCTAAAATCTATGTTCGACCCCTTCAAAAAGATTTAAGTCTTGAGCAAACAGGACAGCCATCATTGGTGAGTTCTCTACTCATTATGACCAGTTTTCTTCTTTACCACAATATTCTGACCAATGTACTTCTTTTGATACATTGACATTAAGCTTGGCAGTGAGGGTTAGAGTGTGTTTATGTCTTCTACTTTTACTAAATGCCTTTCTATCAAGATGGATGTTACTGTTAATTTGTTTACTTTTTTATGTTATTGTTTATTACTGTTTTGAAAGTTCTTGAGCACATCTTGTCATAGTGGAAGAGCTTACATGTATGTGTCACTCTGCCATTTAGCTACCTCCTCAGGCTTGCTCTGGGCTTGTCCCCAGTTTTCCCTGAAAAGCACTTTTTTTTCAATTTTTCACCAGAGCGAGTGTGAGTGACTTGTGACAAGGCATTTGGAACTACTGTTGAATTGTTGTTTATTAGTAAACAGAACAGGCTAAGATACACTATGGTCATCTGTGTTTGTATTAGTCTTTTGACACTGGCCCATTGGAGATGTGTGTGAAGTGTGGGATCAAGATTCAGCTTTCAAGAATGAGGCAGCACATGCAAGATTGTGGTGGTGGATCAAGTGCAAGTGCAAGTACAAGTAGTGAAAATGACCCTGACATGTTGGATTTTAGTGGATCAAGTAAAGTAACCACTGTTGTGAATGATGACTCAAGTGATGAGGATAAAGACCCTGTGCCCATCAAGACAGGTACATAAAAAGAACAGTGAAATGCTACATAAAAGACAAGACCTGTGACACTAAAACCTACAACACTGGCTACATTATAAAAAGCAAACTGAGAAAATAAAGTGTGGAGTGCAGTGTGGCTAGTTTTGCACAACTCTTCTTACTAGGGAATTGTGTGCATTGGTGTTTGATGGTGAGCGGAAATTTCTGACAAGACATGACCTGTAAATCTCTTCTAATAAAGTGTAAATTATACACAGCTAGGTCTGTCGCTCCCCTGGAACAGAAAACCATCAGTGTGATGACTATGGTGCAGTGGGCTAATAATTATTTGTAGAAATTGTCTCTTTTTCTTTTCAATGTTTTCTTATGCATAAAATTTGTTTTCTCTCACTGCACAAATATAAAAATGTTTTACATGTTGATCCTGGGGATGAAAACGAAAAGGTGCAATGCAAATGTTGCTTGGTTGTAATCAAGCTTTAAATATCTTACATTTTAAGGATGGCAGGAAAAGAGTGCAATCAGTCCCACTGCCCTTGCAGATTTACAAGGAATTTTTCCTGTTAAATCAAGCTCTGAACTGCAGTCAGCTCTGGACATTGGTGGTCGTCTTGAAGAAGCAATAGATCTACTTTTGGAATCGGGTCAGTATTAGGAACCCACAACACCTTATTTTGTTGTGAATGTTTATTAAAAATGTTTTTCCTTGAAGAGGATGAAATTTTAGTTGAATTTCTTATAAGCAGCAGGAGCCTCTGCGATTGAGAGGGAGTTGTTAATAAGAAGTATGAAACTGGAATTTCCGAAGGAATTTCCTCCTCCCCCTCTTTCATTTTTTGGCTCTCGTTTCATTTCTCGCGCAGCTAAAGGCAAGAATCTCGTTTCTAGGTCTATCTTTGCTCCGAAACAGCACGGAAACGCTTGCTACACCAGCTACTTATCGACTCTTTTGTATCTTTAAGGTTACTGAAAAAATTGCAAGTCAGACAACAATGGGATTTGTGATAGATGATCCTACTAGGCCGCAGGATGTAGGGGAAGCGGCAAAGAAGTTTTTTAACGAAGGTAGTAACATTAACTGCTGTGGCGACTAGACCCCTAAATACTGCCCTCTGTTTTCCATCAATAACCACGTTTTGGACTGGCTGTCCAAGCCAGAAAGAGAAAGGTACCACTTAATAGAGGTAACATTTAGCTTTAGCTATCAATACTGGAAATAAGGTTGTCTGAACACAGGTTTGGGAGTCGGAAGCCAGGTGTTTAGAATTCTTGCAAATGTTTGTAGTTCTAAAAAAAGTGATTCAACTAGCTTGGAGTAGGCAGTAATGAGGCTTGTATGCGGGGCGCGTATTTTAAGGTGATGTTACACAGTATGATTCGCAACGACCATTTTAACCGTAATGCAGCGTGGCAACATTGCTGCGACATTGTTGCGAATGGTTGCAACATTGCTCCAAAATTGCAACGCTGTGTTGCACTAAAATGGTTCTTGCGAATCGTCCCATGTAACATCACCTTTAAAGGGATAGCCTGCTTTCAGGCTACGACTGATTCAGCTAGGTGTCAGATCAAGCAATTGATTGGTATATACAGTAATGCACAAAGATTCTCAATGTTTCAATTTCTGAAAGAATAAGGAACAATTACATTGCCAGTAGTATAGCAACCGCTTGGGCGTGAATAAATGAATATATAATGAAGGCAGTTATCTGGGCGCTGTAGAGGCAACCGCTTCGGCGTGAATAAATGAATATATAATGAGGTCGGTTGCAACCGTTTGGGCATGGATAAATGAATATAGAATGAGGTAGGTTATTGCGGGGGTGGGCGGTGTAGTGCGTAAATTGTGAATAAATTCATATATAATGAGGTTATGGCGGTGTGTTGATGTCACTAAATCGATATTGGCCATGTGTTCTTTATATTATTTTATTATTGGCTCTTTATCTAATCGATAAAAAAATCCCTGAACAGCCGTCATTCTGTGATCCATGTTTAATGTAAATAAAGTTACAAATTAATCGAATCTTAGCTTGTCTGATTGTGTTTTACAATGTTAAAAACAGGTTTTTGCGAGAGTGTTTTACAATGTTAAAAACAGTTTTTTGCGAGAGGTAATAAGTCTTTACATGTGTCTTTGAGTACAATCCTTGCGCCTCCAGTTCTTGTCTCTTTATAATCAGTTCGTCGTACACATTCATTCATGTTTCTTTCCAGTTTGCATGTGGTAACGGTCTGTTTTTCCAGTTTTCCGGCTCCTTAAAAGGGTATTGTATCCTCTTTCACAAATCTTCGGAAAAGAGACTCAAAAATACGAAGATATGACCGGGCGTTCTGTCGAGTATATGCCATTCGTGCTCCACTGTTGTTACACCATCATCGTCACCATCTATGTTGGTCGATGTTAAATCGCACAACCAGTCCGACAAGTTTTTCATCAACGGGAAGTCTTTATTGTAGTTTTCGTGGAAATATTTTTCCTCTTCACATTTCCATCGAATTTCATAAATGAAAATATTTCGTCATATTTCGTCGTCATGATTTGTGCAGTCATCTTTACCATGTCGTGTAAATGGGCGTGTGCTGTAAATCGGCGTGGGAAAACTTTTAGTTTTTTTGTGTTACGCGATATGTCTTTGTTATGCTGATGGTGTTTGCTTTATAATTTCGTGTGTTGCTTACAGGATATCTCATTACAGAAGGGTAGGTAATTTTGCCAGTTGTGTAATCATGGGAGACAATGGTCAAGCCAATGTGCATTGTCGATTTGTTGATGAGAATGATTTATCGCATCTAAACATTCGAAGGTTAATTTTGAAGTTGTATAGAAAATTTTCTGGTTTAGATAAAAATTTGGAAGAGAAGGTATTGAACTATTATGGCCATCATGTGTGGATAGAATTTAGAGATTTGTGCGAGTTAAATCATTGGATTGTACATCCCGATGTATTGCAATGTTATGTTAATTCAGATTTGTTTGTCATGAGAAAGATGATGGACTTAAATATAGCCGAATACAAACAGTTTATGAAATGTGGACTGTCATATCGCATCAGCATGGATACGATAAAAGAAGCCAAAGAGACGATGCCTTTGATGTGTGCATTCCACGATTTTGTGCAGACATACGAGTCATTTGTTGCTGTGGCCGAGGTGAAAAGATATGTCAGGGAACATGACAGGTTGTTTGCGAATTCCAAGGTAACTTACGTACATAAAAATTTTTTCAAAATGTCTTGTGTTGTGAATGTTTGGAGAGGGTTTTGTAAGGGAACATCAAAGGTTGTTTGCACGAATTCCAAGCTAACTAATGTGCACATATTTTTTAAATGTCTTGTGCTGCGAATGTTTTGAAAAAGTTTTTTTTCTTTGTTGCTGTGTAAAGATGGCACGTAGGTTCGAGGATGATGTGTTGGTGACCGTTTTCGAAGTCGATACGGATGAATGGTTGAAAGAGGTGCAGGTTGGGTAAGGTCAAAATTCGAATTGTCCTTGTGATTTTTGTAGCCCGGGGAATGACGATGAACTTGGAAGTGTCCGGAGATTGGTTTTTAATAGGTTCTTTAATAGGAGATACAGTAAAGTAGGTGTATGTGGCAAATGTTTTAAGAGATGCTATAGTGTTACGTTGCAACCTCATGTGTTTGATGAAAATGTTTTTTCAAAAAATTGTAGGATGGGTTTGGCTGTTAAGAGAAGGAATTGTGGTAATTTGTTGAATGTTTTACAAAATAGGGGGGTTGATGCTGGATTTGGTTTGTTCGGTGGAAGGAAGTTTGCATGTTGTAAAATTAAAAAAGTGCAATGTCAATCGGTGTGCAGAGAAGTTTGTCCGGACAATCCTTGTCTCGATGAAAACACTCTTGGGGCAAAGCATCCGTATGTGATGCTTCCCTCGTGCATATATCCTTGTGGAGGGGAGACAGAGCATCTGCAAAAAGTACAAAAGAAGTACATGGAATAATTTGGTGTTCCGGAGGGTTTTAATCCTTCGGAAGATTTTGAGTATGCGCATGGTGAAGCATGGTGTCAGGCCGTAGATGCATACATGTTGTGGAAATCTGTTGCGGAGCAGTGTGGGTGTTTGACTTCCCATAATTGTTTTGACGAGCATGGTCATTGGTTTGGTGAGTTTGTTAATTATGTATAAATTAAAAAAGCTTTTTCCACCTTTCATGTGTTTGATATTTTTATTGTAATATTAATGTATTACTTATTGAGTTTTTGTGTTGTGTGCAGGCATGTACTTTTTGTTTTGCATTTTGTATACACTGGCGAGTTTATTTCTATTCGAAGTTATTGAAATTTGGTAGTTGTTTATTTAACTTTTAGCTCACCGTTTTCTAGTAGTTTTAATTAAAAATTAGAAATGTTTATTATTTTTTAGAAAAAAAAGCTTCCTTTGATGCCTGATGTTACTGATGATGTGAAATATTCAGAGATCAGAGATATTCCGTGGGAAAAAGAAGATTGTTAGTGAAGCATGAAGATAGCAAGAGAGATGATTTTTGTAATGATTTCAATTTTGGTTTTTTACAATAAAAAGATAATTGAAAGTTGAAAGAGTTTTTTGTTTTTATTGGAAGACAGAAAAAATGGGGTTTTGGCGATATTGTGTGGTAGAGTTTTTTAAACTTACATTTTAGGAAGTGGTACTACATTTCTATTTTTTCACTCTGCTTCCTCGTCATTGTTAATAGCAAGTTTACACTCGAAATATAAGCTGAAAGGAATCAAGAGAAACAACTGGTTAGGTTTTAAGTCTCTGTTTACTGTTATTGAAATCAAGTTTACAGAACCTCTGACCACTCTACCACACAAACCCACCCCCGTCTAAGAGGATGAAATTAAATCTATTATAATGAAAAGGCGGAAATGAATACATGTTTGCTTTACATGGGAGTCGTGTTTGAATACATGTTTGCTTTGTTAAAATTCATGGAAGTCCTGTTGAATGGATTCTGAAATGACTGTTGTTGCGTGATAGATCATCCAATTCTTCCCATTTTCATTTCTTTTTCTTTTTCTTGTAAATGAGTTGTTCAAGTCGACAAAATGATGATAAATCTGTGTGATGGATTTAATTTTTTCAACCAAGTCTTTTAAGATTTTCTCTTTTGGGTATCTGAGGGTCTTCGTGTATCTTGGAGGAAGGTTCACGCTTCTTAACGTGCGGATAAATGAAGATTTTGTTCATCATTCGTTCCCAACGATCCTTGCATGCCCTGTAGTTTCAAGTTCTATAGGAGTCCAGATTAGACGCATTGATTTCAGTGATCCACAAGGCGGTAAGGGAGCCGCAGATTGCCTTCCAGCCACATGTAAGGCTCACGTACGCATTTTCATCAATGAAGGCCATGATGTCACAAATGCCAATTAAAAGACACTTGTCTCACACGGAGGAATTGATGGCGTCCGCGTTAAGTGTGTCTGGATGCAATCACAACAGCATCACCAATCAGCAAACCAGCGAAGATCCAAAATGTCAGTAAACTCCACAACTTTGAGTTTACCGAAGGTGGTATCAAAACATGGAGGGCATATGACATTGGCAGAGGAAAACAAATCAAGGCCGATACCTTGATAACAGGTAACGCACAGTCATGAAGTTTTTGTTTTTGTTGTTTGTATTTGGGACTGTCGACTATTTTAAAATTTTCTTTAAAAAAAACTTAAGGATAGCTAAGAAACCCCCACGTAACCGGGAAGATCAACTCAGAGGTAATAAGAGCAATGGAAAAAATACTACCAATTTAGCAAAACATACAAAGCTCCTAAAACTGAAACACAATAAAATATATCTATCTCTACACTAAACTTATTCGTTTACCCAGTGTCGTTTTGACGTTTATAAATTTCCCTATTTACAGAATCCGAAAACAGGTGGCTAGAATCTACATTTTCTCCAGGGAACTTCAAGTCTCTCAGCCATAAAGAGAAAAGCATGTTCACGACGACGAGCCTCCCAAAACAAAAAAGAGTTCCAGTGACATACAGGAAAGTCAGACCAACCATGGTTTATACAGTTGCCCCGAGAGTGGATGTACAAGGGTGTTCTAAAGACATTCGGCAATAACGAAACATCTATCCTCTGAGAAATGCATATGGTCCTTGGAAAAACACACTCTTATGGATCTCGCTAAGCTTGGCAATCAGTAGGTTTTGGAAGAGGATGTCGGTGTCGTGCCAAACTTAAGAACCAGCAGCATTGCAAGCAAACAATCCAGAAAACGTTTAACAGAGGGATGGGTGTTGCGACCAGCTAAGAAGGCATACCATTTTAGTGAAAAGTAGAAGGCCTACCTCACTGCTAAATTCAACATTGGTCAGTCCACTGGAAGGAAAGTCAACACAAGTCTTGTAGCACGTGATATGAGACGTGCCCATGGTTTGAATGGCGAGCGGCTTTTTAAATCAACCGAATTTCTGACCTCTCAGCAGATATCTTCATATTTCTCTTGCCTTTCTTGCCAACAGACCCTCACCCATGAAGCCGACCTTACCGCCATTGAAGATGAAATAAACTTTTCTACGGCCAGAGACCAAGTGATGGCTACTGTCACACTCCAACATCCCATTGTTTTTTGACCAGTACAATATCTGTGCCATGGGAGAAGAAGACACATTAAAGAACTTGAAGGTTTCGTTGCTTCAGGTGATTTTTCAAGGCCTCAATCTTGACATCCCCATTAACCAATTCGCCGTAAAGCTCCATACCTGAAGTTGCTTAAAGAAGCCATCAGTAATTGTGGATGCCAAAGCCGAGGCTGAAACAGAGTACTGGATAGGTGACACTAGTCCGGGGGTACTCCTGAAAATTCTTGATGGGGGTGTGCTACCCGTTTCTCCTAATCCTGACCCTACTTCAGACCAAAAAATGTCATTTTCCACACCCGTTTTCAGACCTGGCCTTTAGGTAAAAATTATGTCATTGTTACTTAGATTAAAGCGAAAACAAAACAAATTAAGTCCATCTCGAATTCACATAATTCTCTTTCTTTCTTTCTAATTTGGAATTGAAATGATAAAACTTTCATACACTCCCATAGTTCCTTCGAAGACCATACACGACTTTCATACTGGCCGACGGCGCGCGAGATTGGTAATTAGTTACACATGAGAGCGAGGTCAGAAAGGCCACGTTCGCTTTGACCTTCGCTTATTCGTTTGATTTCAGATAAACAAAGCAGGGTGATATTAGGTCAATTGGTCTGTTTTGTGTAGAATTGGCTAAGTTATTTCGAAGAATTGGAAATGCCAACTCATTGTGTTCCAGAATGCACGAAGAAGGGATATCGAGAAGAAGATGGGACAAAGGTATCATTCTTTAAATTTCCGATCGAGAACCCGATGAAGAAGAAGTGGCTACACACAATAAGGAGAGAGGAAGGAAAATACTTCAAGGTGACTAAAAGCACAAGGGTTCGACAACGACATTTCAGGGAAGGCGATATAAAAAAAACCCTTTCTGGGAAAAATGAACTAAAAGACGGAGTTGTTCCCAGGCTCTGTTTTTCCGTGGATTCGAACATCGCCACGTAAAAGAAAGGAGCCGATGGAAAGACACTTTGAAGAGACCGCTTCGAAAAGTGCATCAAGGAAATTGTCTTCTTCAGTTGTTGTCATGGAAGAATTATCAAATGAAATGGTACCAGATGTATCAGATTTAAGCTCACAATTTGAAAACGTAGAAACACAAACTGATTTGACTGAGCACGAAGCCTACTTGACGGAAATCATTGACAACAATAACAAAAGGATTTATGAGCTAGAACAAGAAATTGATGAACTTAAGCGTCAGCTGCAAGATACCCAGTGGCGGAATAATGCCCTTAATAAGAGACTGTTTTCCTTTGAAAACTTAAAGTCAAAAGATTCCAATGCTGCTTTTTATTCCGGCTTCCAAACCTGGGATGCTTTTATGGCTGTTTTTGAGTACCTTGATCCTGGCGAGCGAGGTGAGAACATTTCCTTCTGGCGATCTTCCACTGACATCACATCTGATTATAGCGAGGACCAAACGGATGAATTACTAACGAAAAAGGGGAGAGCTCGATCTTTAAAGCCCCTTGACGAATTTTTTATGGTGATGTGTAGGCTGAGGCAAGGATTTCCTGAAGATCATTTAGCTAACTTATTCAATGTATCAACTCCCACAGTGAGTAGAATATTTATCACATAGGTCAATTTTATGTACTTTAAGTTTGGACAAATAAACATTTGGCCCAGCAGAGAAATAATCAATACAACAATGCCTGAAAGTTTTAAAAGTAAGTACAAGTCGACAAGAGTCATAATTGACTGTACTGAGATCAGATGCCAAATGCCAAGTAGTTTACAACTGAATGGAGAACTTTTCAGTTCCTATAAGAATCACACAACATTGACGGGCTTGGTTGGTATATCTCCTGGAGGAGCAATCACATTTATTAGCCAACTTTACACCGGTTCAATCTCGGATCGAGAAATTGTACGAAGGAGTGGTTTTTTAGAGCTTCCGTTTGACGATTAAGACTCAATTATGGCAGACAAAGGATTCACAATTCAGGATTTGTTGCCTTTGGGAGTTACTTTAAATCTGCCACCTTTTCTTGAAGTGTCTGCACAGATGGCTGCACAGGATGTGGTTAAGCCACCCAGGAAATCGCCAGTTTAAGAATTCATGTTGAGCGTGCCATAAACAAGATAAAACACTTTCACATCTGGGATAGAGTTGTTCCATTACATCAGATGGGAATTGTAAACCAGATGTGGGCAGTATGTGCATTCTGCAAAGCACAGCCCAACATCATATCCATATGACTTTCCTATGTATTTGAACAATTAACAGTTCTAATTGAAAATCTATTGTTACAAACACAACAGCTCCCTTAAAATTCAATGTCGTTTTGAAAATCTCAGTTACGGTGTAGATATTTGAAATCCAAGACTAGGATAACTGCTGCATTAATGTTTACGAGTGCTTGTTGTGTGGTGATAAGGTGAGGGTGGGGTTTTTTAAAGCGTAACACAACAGTTATACATATGTATGATGAGTTTTAAATTTACCCTTGTTTTAAATTTTATCTTCCTACTGTTCTTGGTATGAGTGAGTTTCAAACAAATGGAAAATAATATTTAAATTGAGGATAAAATCAAACAACAACATACACAATCCTCTTTCAGTCTCTCTATGTGTTGAGTGCGTACAAAGACAAAAAAGACAATACTTTTTTAGCTGATCTGACTATTTATTACAAGGTTACAATAAAAATATTGTATTTGAGGTCTGACTGTGGTATCTATCACTACCCCTTGAATTCTCAAACAGTTGTCACTATTTACTTTCTTCATGAAAAATATGCAAATGTAAGAAATGTATCTCTTCAGCTGGATTTAAAAACTTGGTATAATTTCTTTTATAGGAAACATACATAGTCATTGGGACAAATATTTTTGCAGTGTTAATGAGAATTGAAGGGTTAACCTGATGTAGCTGTGCACAATACTTCACAATCACTGTTGTTGTTTACTTGACAACTCCCCTGGAAAAACTTTGCAGATGCAAAGGTAATGAAGTGATCAAAATAATAAGAAAGCAGTTTTTGTTCTAATCCAGCCCAAAACACAGGGTCAAAAGGTATACGTTGGACATAAATACCCTTACTGGTATACACAATAAAGTCACACCACTTTGCTCCAGTAACAGCCATTTGTCCTTGCACTTGAGCATAGTAAGGGTGGTCCTCTTTCAGTTTGCACTCCCTGTCACCTGTCTGTTTCATGAAGAACTTTTCATCCATACAAGCATCAAGGGGCGTGACATGGTGTTTTGTGTAAGGGCATTTCACTTCAGCTATGCCAAAGTAATCTGTGCAGCCGAAGTCGACTACTCTTGCATCAGGAGTAGCTCCAAGAATGGGACACCCCTTTGAAACAACAAGACCACAAGAGAGCACCTCAACAGGTGTACTTTTGTTAAACAGATACTTTTCATACTCCCTTAATGCAACAGATTCAAACTTTTTTCCATGTTCTAACTGTTTTGAAGTAACCGATTTTGGATTGATCAATTGTTCTACAAAAGTGTCATAATTTCTCTGTCGTCTAGAAATCAAGTGAAATTGAGAGGCAGTGAATCTGAATTTTCGCTCATCTTTCCATTTAGTACATTCAGCTTGTTTCGTTGTTTGTGTTTCAAGGTCATTGAGTTCATTTTCCTCTAACTTCAAAGATTGTATTAGTTTGTTGTCATTCTCACTCAAATTGTCAGGTGGTGCCATTTCATTAATATCCCTTAAAGGAAACCTTGGATAAGTGAGGGCTTGAGTTTTAGTTACTTGGCTAAGTCTTGGTACGCAGTCAATGGATGCTGTGGCTTCAAAGTGTGCCTCTGTCAGGGAAACTTGGTATGACAAGAAACAACCAACTTGACATTTGCCAAATTTTGTTTCTACAAGTCTAGTATGCGTGTGATCAATCTGTTCACTAGCCATTTGAGACAGGCCCATATTAGGGTCAATTTGTTTCAGACACTCCTTTAGTTTCTGCTCTGCAGCTACATTATGTGTGGTTTTCATCCTGGCATCATATACAAGAGATTTGATGCCAGAACGTAATCTGAATTCTTCATCCTTTGTTTTTGTAACTTCCACTTCCATCACTGGCTGTGGTGCAATGTTCTTTCCTCCGCCCTTCTTGTGCCACTGCTGCAGTTGTGATGTACAGGCCAAGGAGGATTGCTGGTCCTGTTCCTCCATCAGGTCCTTGGTAGAATTACAGGAAAATAACGTAAACTTGCACATCTTGAACATCAATGCCAACACATGATTACAGAATCCGCTTTTTCCTGCCACACATGAACACGAAGCACTCTCCACTTCTCCTGACAAGATGCACAAGGCGATTTTCAGATTATGCGGGGGGTCATTTTTTCGAAAACTATGACAGCACTTCCCTTTGAAGAAGAAGTACTTCGAATCACTGGCACATTCAATATCTTCCAGATATTCGTCATCTAAGAAGCGCCTGGCCTTTACCAACCCCGTCGGGACGGTGTGATGATCAATATTACCAATGGTTTTCCCGGACTTCAACATGTGGTGATTCATTTGCAGTCGCGTGAACATTGGCATCTTCTCCAACGACGTCCCCCATCCAGTAGTTGGAAACTCTGCAGCCGCTGTACTTTCCTTGACAAGCTCTGAACTTGTGCCTTGCTTTTGCTTTCTACGGCTATATATTTTACGTGGATCTGGATCTATGATCTGTTTGTCCTTGCCGCTTCGTATGTACTCGTACACTCGTTTCACTAGCTCCGCTTTTGTCTTCAAACCTTTCCCTGTGTCTCCGCGACATTTCAGCCAGAATTTAAGTTCCGAGTTGTTCAACTCCTCAGGTTTTCGTCCAAGTAGAGAAGCGCCGGGAATATCGTTTTCTGTAAGAGGAATCGCATTTGAATCGCTTGAATTGTCCGATGGACTCGCCATTTTCAGTGCTTGTGGCCGTGCTTGTGTTGTAAACAACAAGAGACGCGACGCGACGCTGGCCTTTCTGGCCTCGTTTTCACACCGCTCGAACCAGGTTTCGCGCCTGGTTTTCGCCATTATGAAAGTCGTGTATACCTGATTCCATACCAAAATGGGCAGTGTGTACTTTTTCAGACCAAAAAGGCCCAAAAACCCTACCCGTTGGGGCGGCATGTACCTATATGGCTTGAATAAGGGAGTACCCCCCCCTCCCAGGACTCTATCAAGTCCTGTCCCTCTTTTTTACTTGGCACCAATCTGTCGGTCATTTTTTTAAGCGATATTTCACGAAAGTAAAGAAAAATAAATGGAGATCTTAGGCTCGATTTTGGCCGCTGCTATTGTTAACTTTTTCGGCATTTTGGCGGGTCGATGTGGTAGTCAAAAAGCAGAAGGGAGAGAGATTAGGATATGAAAGGTACGGGGTTTGACCGTGGGTTGCGATTTTCTTTCTTTCTTATAGAATCACTCCCAATAACAGGTCAAAAAATTGTCTTTTTAAGTGTCTTAAAAATAGCAGCGACCGTTTACAAAAGGGACAACTGCTTCACTGCTCCCTCCTCTCTGAGAAGAAGAGACTTTTGGGGGAGGAGGGCGGACTCATTTCCTAAACAGCTGCTGGTAATCGAGTCTACGAAAATCTCAAATACTTCAGTTGTCAGTCTGCAATATCCCTAAATTTAAGGACAGGGCCAACTGGTCACGCGACACTTTTCAACCCATGAGACGGCACGCTTGTGTTTATCAACAAACAAATCAAAACATCACCCCAGTGATCAAACATTTTCAAAGCAGCAGACGTTTTCCACTCCTGGGTTTATCACAGAGCCGTGTTATTACTTTTTTTTGCATTAGTACGAGCCTTTGCCTTTTTTCTTTTCAAGGCCAAAACAACTTTATTAGTCATGTATATTCGCGTCCAACATCTCGCCTCACTTGAAATTCGATGAAATTGAAGATCATAAGCGCAAGACAGATACTAACTGCTTTGTTTCTGAAATTTACCAAATCTGGAAAGATTTAAGAGGCAATGTCCCTAAAAGCGTTCCACTCGATTTCAGACTCGAAAACACTTTTGCCTCATATTTATATCATCAATACCACTATCCATCCTTATAACGAAAATGCAGTTAGAATGACGAAATAGTTTATTTTACTGCCATTATCAGCATTTCATCTCTGAACGACCGTTACCGGCTAAAATATGCAAATTTTAGACGCTGTTATTCAGGTTTTTCAAGGATCGTTAAAAGCTACTGCGGGCCGTTAAAACCTAGACCATTTGTACTCATTTGGAAGTATATTGCTTCTTTTTACTGTTCCAATACGATTTAGCCGTATTTCTCTGTAATCAGCAAAAACAGGTTATCGTTTATTCTAGTAATTCAATTAAGTAAGCAAACTGCACCAAAATATGCCTCAGAAATTTCACAAAATTCTTAAAAGTGGCACCTAACCTAGACTTAAAAACATGTTTTAGTTAAAGATAAAGAGGTATTCTATCAATTTATGCAATAAAACTTGTGGCACAACGCGTTCAGAATTAAAGTTTTCGATTCAAATTTGCATATTGATGCTGAATTTTCATTATGTGACACAGGCTGCTTTGACAGAAAAATTTCTCGTCCAGTTATTCAAATATTTGCCACGTCTTCTATTTTCCAACCAAAAACTAATTTATCTCTCTCTTCCTTCTTCAATGATACCTGTTGTTCCAAAATTCCGCAGGTGTACGTAAGATGCAGTTTTAAGCTTGATAAAATACCCAGTTATCCCACCATTTGTGTTAAAGTGCAGTGTTCTTTAAATTGTCAAGATGCAGATTTCAAATTTCTTTTCAGAAACAAACCTCTTTTACTTTAAAATGTGGTCCAGTGTGAAGCAGCTACATAACCCAGTATTTGATACGACTTTATCTCCATCACATTTTTAAAATGAACGTAAGATGTTAAAAAAGTAAATCTCCCACAGCGTTATTAAATATCTTGAACAGGTCAGAAACTTTTGGACAAGAACTACAAGAACTGGAATGCGGACCGCGAATAAATAGTTTTGCTTTATTTAATTATCACTTAACAGGAGCACACATCTTTATCTAATTTAAAGACCTTTCCTAATGAAATTTCAATAAGATGGTTTCGTCCTGTCGCTGTCTGTTTCTTCTATTGAGAGTGGTCAGCTATATTGCACACGCTCCTTGGTCCACAGTCCGGGATCCAACGCTACCCACTTACCCAGCCAGTTGGCAGCGAAGTTGGCACGCGCAAATACTACAGCGCTGATACCACAACTTCAACATGAATTTCGAATCGTGCAGCTTTAGGCAAATTAAGAAAATAGCGTGTGGAAGTTCGTGAAATTTGTCCCAAATGGTTAAAGTAGATGAATGTCAGGACACAATTACGACTCAGCTTGAAACCTGTCATCTATCAAAGTCTGGACTCAGTGAAGCGGAACTAATACTGTCAAGGGCCGGTAATTTTGACCTCACGAAAGATCAAATACAACAGATGGTAATTTGCCCACAACATCGGCATAAACTCGGAAAATTTTGGCGGCCACCTCGTTCTTGCCAGTATCCATCGCATAGTGGACCAAGAAAAAAACATTGTAACGAAAGGCATGTAATTGGTTTGGAGACTGCGAAGAACATACAGTCGGTTTTTAAAGTCACCGTGGGAATAGGATCACGTAAGAATTAAAAATACCACGTGATTTAGGCGGCCATGGTGGGGGTCAAAACAAAAGAATATTTCCTCGAAGAATTTACATGAAAATAGATTTTAGTTCCCAGAGGAGAGAAATGCTTTTGTTCTTGACCACCAACATGGCCGCCGTGACGCCACGCAAAACCAGCAATACCGTAAAATTCCGAAAATAAGCCCCGGGATTATATTTTTCAAAGACCGTTTTGAGGGGCTTATTTTTGGAGGGGCTTATATACGGAGGAAAATTTGGGTGTCAAAATCGATTGGGCTAGCCATAGAAGTACATTTACCGTTTTTGCTTTGTTTTACTTTGTATTTAAGGGCAATTTTCAAGTACAAGCCCCGGGGGCTTATATTTGGCGGGGCTTATTTTCGGAATTTTACGGTAATTTAATTACTTAATTCTTTATCAAGATGAGTGTTTTTCTTCTTTGAGAAGACAAAGGAAAAGGGAAAAATTTTTGATGATAATGATAATGACGACGACGATGATGATGATGAAGTACTGTAATTGTTACTGTTGTCATAAAATTGCAAGACCATGATGAACTCAGTAGTTCACTCAATCTTTTCTATTCAGCAATATGTGGGAAGTGTAGAAGCAAACATAAGGAAGTGATGGACAAAAGTAGGAAATGGCTTAAGTTAGATGCTGATAAGGAAGAAGAATGCGATCCGCATCACAGTGCTGCAGCTTACGGCTTAAGAAACAGGTAAACGATCGCTGTTGGCGGCTATCTACCTCTCCTTGTAGACGCCCCATTCTCCGTGTTGATGATGTAAAAATTGACCTCTGAACAAAGTTCTTAAAGGTCTTGGGATATCTAAACACTTTTCTGAAAGATCCGCATTTGGCCCGTTCAGGACCAAAGGTACACACCGGTTTACTAAATTACGCTGCGGCATATATCATTCCGATTTTGCGACTCAACTGCTGCGCTCATTTGCGGAATGCGATTATTTTGAGGGCGGCGTTTACTTAAAAATCCTCATAGATTTATAAAAAAAATGGTTACTTTTGGCAGAAAAAATGGGCTTTACTAACTTTCGCCGTTCGAACTACAAAACAGTGCTAGGCACAAAAATAAGTTTCCCACACTGTTTTAGGAAGAGTGTCATGTTCGGATTGGTGGGGGGTGGGGTGGGGTTTTAAATAGAGGCAGCACTTCATCAAGGGTGACGCAATATTGCGTCCATAACATATGTCGGTTTACTTAAGATGTCATTTTCCAAAAGTGCCAAAATGTTTTGTTTCCAACTCTTGGCGAACTGTAGTGCAGTGTTAACAAAACAAATTTTAAAGACGCCTTTTATTTTATCAGGCTGCTAAAAGAAACTTTCGCGCCTGAGACACCACAAACGGACAGGCTTGCAGGCGCTAACTGGATGCCTGGATGTTGGAGTGGGGTTGGTAGCGGTAGTTCGCAGGAAGACATACATACAGACGAAATTCCTGAAGTATCCGATGACGTCGTTGCTGATTTTAACGAGGGAATGGCGAAAATAGCTAGACATTCAAAAAGGGAAGACCTCACGCCACTAACATTCCAACTGTCCACGACATGGGAGGAAGCAATACCGGATGAAAGAAAAACTTGCATAGAGAAAGCAACGAAAGCATGTGAAGTAATCTGCAGTGTTATAGCTCCGAAAGACGGCGAAAAAAACTTTTTCAAGCGATACACCAGCCTACCGCGAACGATCTTGATGAACCAACAGAGGATCTTATTGCCTTGATGTCCGCATATCGAGATGCCATGACAAAAATGTTAAGATTCAAATACTCAGCATCTACGCTTATCGGTATACCATGAAGCTGTTACAGAAATTCCACGAGCCTTATGAAAAGATAAGTTTGAGACAAATAAAAAAAGGGCGAGATCGCATGCAAGGAAACGAGGGCCGGGGTCAAATGTCCCGAAAGTATTCAGCCATCGAGTATGTCTGGACACAAACAAAGTCGACCACTTTATAGATTTTGTAAACCGTCCTTATTTCTACCAAGACGTCCGCCTTTGGAACGCGAACACTGACCTTAGATGGGGAGGCAAAATAACAATGCCCAACGTAATCCGGACCGTGACTAGATCGACCATGATTATGCAGTACCTTCAACATTGCGAAGAAGAATCATTTGAACCGGCTAGCCGCTCAACCCTTTGTCGCATTCTTGAAGTGAGAGAGGCTTCACAGCAGAAGTCTCTCAGTGGTCTGGACAACATTGCAGCAGAAGGGGTCGCATCTTTTGAGCGGCTGTTGAGTATTCTAGATGAGCTGAATCAGGCTGGTGCCGAAAAAAGAAGAGTTACAGAACTGGCAAAGAAATTGAACGATGGGAAAAGATACCTGAAGACGGAGTTTAAAGTGAACTGTTCAGCAGAGGAGAGTGAGTGCGCAGACCACTGCAGAAAATTTGCGTTAAGCGATCCAGTTGATCCATGCTTCAACCATCAGTGCTCACACTCACACAATATGATGTGTGAACAATGCGAACAATTGAAGGAAACGTTAGACGAGATGGAAGAAAGTATAAAGAAACACTCCAGCCATCTTTACAGCCAAGAACAAAAGCATGATCTTCTTTGCGATTTTGAAAGATCTAAGAATTGCATTTTTCTTTGGAAATCTCATGCCTTACGCTCTGTCAACCAAGAATCTGCTAAACAAGAAGCCCTCCAAAGTCTTGACAGTCAGTCAGTCCTTGTTGTTATTGACTGGGCGATGAAATTTCTTCAAATGAAATACAGAGAAAAACAAAGTGAATGGTTTGCTAAAAGAGGCCTTAGCTGGCATATAAGCAGTGTGATCTCAAAAGACCAAGAAACGCAGAAAGCTAAGGTCCTGTCGTATGCCCATTTATTAGATTCGTGTTGTCAAGATTGGTATGCAGTGGTATCTATTTTAGAAAACCTTTTTCAAAACATCAAAATAAATTTTCCAAATGTTAAGCACGCATTTCTACGTTCTGACGAGGCTGGCTGCTACCATTGCAATCACCTAATAGCAGCAGTCAAAGATATTGGAGATCGAGTGGGAATTACAGTTGCACGTTATGATTTTTCAGAACCCCAGCAAGGAAAGGATGTTTGTGACAGGGTGCTTTGTCCCATGAAAGCAGCCATAAGAAAGTATTGCGCGGAAGGCCATGACATCATGAACGTAGGAGCAATGCACGAGGCCCTTAAGGAACGGCCTGTCAAAGGAACGACAGCGGCTGTAGCCATTTTGGATGAGTCATCCAAAATTCTTGAGGTTCAGAAGATAAAACAATTTAGTGAGTTACACAACTTTAGATACGAAGAGAGTGGGATAAGAGTGTGGAAAGCTTACGCTGTTGGGGTCGGCAAGCTTATCCCTTGGCAATCTTTGTACATACGGCACCAGGGCTGTACAAATATATCATTAATGGAGGGAAAAGGATTCTTCACCAACACAGAAATAAGAGACCTTCATCGCCCAAGAAAGTGTCAAGCAAGGAAAGACAACGTTGAAATTGACGATCAGCCATCGATGTTTGTGTGCCCTGAAGAAGGCTGTAATTGCACTTTTGACTCTTTCTCCGAACTTGAGTTGCATACAGACGTAGGAATACATGATAACAGGAAGTCGGAAAGTCTTTATGATAAAGTACGGAAAAACTGGGCTGAAAAATTTTCTTCTATTGAGAACCAGAAGTTAACAAGCAACAAATCCTCCACTGGTCTGACTGTTAACAGCACAAATTCTCGTCTAAGTATCGGATGGGCTCTTAACAAAGGTAGAACTGGCGGAGTTCGTTTTTCTGAGAACGTGAGACGGTACCTTACAACAAGGTTTGAAATGGGAGAAAGAACGGGCAAAAAAGCCAATCCAGAAGAGATCGAACGTCAAATGCGCAACGCCAGAAATGAACGGAATGAAAGATTGTTTCAAAGAGAGGAGTGGCTCACCAAGACTCAAATAATGGGGTTTTTTTCACGCCTCGCTTCAAGGCAGAGAACTCATGGGTCAGGAAGCTACATCAAAGGAACAGACATTTGATATTACAGCAGATGAGAATGACGACATCGACGCCCTCATTGGAGACTCTGATCGCAACAATTTGCTTGACGACATTCAAAGCAGAATTGGACTAGAGCATCCGATAGTATATGACACATATGATCTTTGCGCCTATCACAAGGAAGGAAAGCTACAGGCCTTCAATGTTGCAATGCTCAAGACTATTCTTCGGCACTTTGAAGTACCTTTCCGAGCAAAAGATAGAAAGGCAGACCTTATTAGGTTGTTAACGGAGGTTATCCAAGAATGCCACTGCTGAATAGAGTCTACTGTCCCTTTTATCAGACAAAAGGGACAACAATATTTCTTCTTGTAACTGAATCAATTAAGCTTTTATTGTGCAAGTCTTAGTTAATTTTTTTTTTCCGAAAATTCTTTGGCATGTTGAGTTTTTTCGTATTTGTTATGTGACTTTTACCCGATGACACGAAACGGAGACGCTTAATTCGATAAAATATTTAAATAATCTAATTGTTTTCTTATAAACCCGCCAATCGAACACTGTCGAGCTCACTTAACTCACTGTCCGTCACGGAATAACCAAAGTTCGAGAAATCAAAATTCCAACTAGAATTCAAGGCTCGATCTTCAACTGTCCAGTCTGTCTCGGAATTCCCAGAAGAGAAAGCACATAGAATAACAAACCAAATACAGACTGAAATATGACCATTATGACTGATGCTAGAATTTTCATATATCGAACTTAAGCTACTGACAACGTGTAGCACGGCCTATTATATTTGCGATTAGTGGTTGGTTGATTCATCATGCCTTAATAATCTACTATATGACCTACTATTACTAAAGTTGCTTAAGTTAAGGTATCTAGACATTGACTGTACACATTTCACCGTTTTCAAGCAAAAATAGCAATCAGTTTAGTCGTGATGGAAATTCATAGACATGTAATTAAAATGTGGACTAGACGTGAATAGACACCCTATTCTGGTTTTCGATTCCTCGGCTTTTGGAGTCCAATCCCCATTTTGACAAGTTATCTTGAAGGACTACCATGTACTCTCGTCCCATACAGCGTAAAGGTCAATTCGTGAAGGACTTGCCCGCTGTAAAATGTTAATACTTAATTTTACCGGTAAAAAAAATGTTCCCTAAAAACGCAACTGTTGTATGCCGAATAAAGCACGTTTGGAAGGGCGAGACTAACAAAGGTTAGTGGCAAAGGTAAGTAAACTTAATGGTCTACACTTCCGTTCAGTTTTCCTGTAAATAAAGTACAAAAAAAGTTGCCTAATGGCATTTTTTATTTTTAAGCTTAATAATATCAATAATTATAACAAAATATTACAACAAGCAAATGCGATGACCTTTCTAAAGTCTCGCCTGTGACTATGCTTCCAATGAAAGCATTAAAACGATTTATTTAGTAAATAAAAATTAAGGTTTGGCTCCTGAACATTTAGGAATAATTATATTTCTGAAGATCTATTTATTGAAAAAGGAAGAAGAGGAAGAAAAATAATTTTTTGCGGTTAAAAAAACATATTTTACTTCCGAGCGGCAAGTATTTGGAGAAATTTCCCGTCGAAGCAGCCGGTGTCACGCAACGCGAATTCTGCATCAATATGTAAATTTGAGTCGAAACCTTCAAGTCTGAATCGCGTTGTGCCACAAGTTTTATTGCATAAATTGATAGAATACCTCTTTATCTTTAACTAAAACATGTTTTTAAGTCTAGGTTAGGTGCCACTTTTAAGAATTTTGTGAAATTTCTGAGGCATATTTTGGTGCAGTTTGCTTACTTAATTGAATTGCGAGAATAACGATAACCTGTTTTTGCTGATTACAGAGAAATACGGCTAAATCGTATTGGAACAGTAAGAAGAAGCAATATACTTCCAAATGAGTGCAAATGGTCTAGGTTTTAACGGCCCGCAGTAGCTTTTAACGATCGTTAAAAACCTGAATAACAGCGTCTAAAATTTGCATATTTTAGCCGGTAACGGTCGTTCAGAGATGAAATGCTGATAATGGCAGTAAAATAAACTATTTCGTCATTCTAACTGCATTTTCGTTATAAGGATGGATAGTGGTATTGATGATATAAATATGAGCCAAAAGAGTTTTCGAGTCTGAAATCGAGTGGAACGCTTTTAGGGACATTGCCTCTTAATGTTGTTGGATTCTCCAAATGTTCATCCACCGCTAAAAAAACAATCAAAGAAAGAAGGCTAATTTCAACTGTAAATGATGTATTTCGCTACTCACTGAACATGCACTGATTATCTGGGGTAAAATTAAAACATTGCATGTACTACAGCAAGCAAAGAAAAGCTCCAGATGCTTGAAGTCAACACGAAGCAAAACAAAAAAACAAACAAGAAAAAGTAATAAATTTGAACTACTTTTTATTCTTGTTATGATGACTGGTTCTTTGATTCTTGTCCTGTAGAAGTTAATGGGTAGTACCAACCCTGTTTTGTACGATCTCCACAAATTTTCACACTCTCTCTAAGGCTATTTTTACAAGGGACCAGTTTGCTTCTCTCTTTGCAAGCCATGCCAGTGAAGCCACGACCTCTGTGATCGGTCCACAATCAGTTCGAACACCCCAATGATTCCTTGCAATGAATAATGCTCTTATTCTCTAACATGAAATGTTTTCTTTGAAATATCAAATGTGAATCCTAGACGAGTACTGTAAGCTCATCTTTAATCTGTCTGACTCAGTCTGCTGTTTTGAAAATTTTTGATCACTGGGACGATGTTTTGATTTGTTTGTTGATAAACACAAGCACGCCTTCTCATTGGTTGAAAAGTGTCGCGTGACCAGTTGGCCATGTCCTCAAATTTAGGGATATTCCGAACTGGTTGTAAGAGACGGACCATTACAAAAGTTATGGGGAGTGGAGTATTTTAAAGCCGCATATCGAAGAATATTTTTTCCTCGACATTTCCCTTGCTTAAACTTTGTTAGGCCAATGCTGGAGTATTTGTAAGGCTACTCGGCATGCATGAAGTTTTTTTTTCAGAATGTTTCCTTGCACGAATATATATAGCATTTATATGACCTCAAAAAACTGGAAAAAACAACTCTTGGCGATATTTTGTCTATATTAAAAGAGTTCGTCAGGGCAATTAAATATATTTTTGTAATTCTTTCCCGCTCCAAAACTTTGCTAATTATCTGTCCCTTTCCCTATACAAATGGAGCAGTGCATGGCAGAGATTTACCACACACGCGAAGAGGTACTCTTCATGGGCCCTCTTCAACTGGTGTCAAACACGTTTTAGGATAGATACCCTTAAGGGTCATTGAAAGACACCACCAAAGCTCTCATGACTCTTGCATGGTTTCTTCCTTTTTCTTTTCTTTCTTTAACTCTAGGGATTTCGGAAGAAGAATGACCCTAGAAAGGGGCTTGAGGGCTCCGACATGGGTACGATTGGCACCCCTATCCAGGGAAGAACCTCCACCTCAGTGAAGTCATCTTTGTCTCTATTAAAGCAGAAGTAAGTTACGATTTGGATCTGTGATACAACGGAAATTCTGAATACAAGATGATGTTTTTGTTCATGAAATTTTAAACGGAGATGGCTTAGGTGTTCCCAATCCCGTTCCCAGATGCCGCGATCCTTTTGGTCAGCGACAGGGATCGGGACCTCTGGGATAATCTGTTTGCCGACAACAGGATTCTTGTTGTCGTCCCGACTGCGCAGGCCCGAACCAGTTTGGAAAATGGCGTCTAAGTCGGAGGATTTGTTTCACGAGGCGATTAAGTTCTCTTTGGAAAAACTTGGCAAACCAGACCTGAAACTAAAGAGGGAACAATTTGAAGCCATAAGGGCTCTCTGTGTTGAAAGAAAGGACGTTTTAGCTGTATTGCCGATGGGTTTTGGTAAATCTTTAATTTATCAAATTTTGCCCGCAATATTTGATTTCCTTCGAAACAGAAGGGACAAGCAAGAAGAAAACTCTGTCGTTATAGTTGTTTCTCCTCTTAATGCCTTAATAAAGGGCCAACTTAAAAAATTAGAAGGATTTTTAAGTGTCTGTGTTGTGCAAAGTGTGAAAGACAAGGAAGGAGAGAATAAAGTAAATTTGCCTCAAGATGTGAGGAAATGCAAGTGCCACTAAATGTGGCATGGTGGAAATATTGGGGCTTTCAAATCCAAAAATTGTTGAAAGTAACCTAGACAGAGCAAACATTTACTGTGCATCGCACACTCGTTCTGACAAAGGTGATGAGAAACTTGATTCAATTTTGGAACCCATAGTTACTGAGTTGAAAGCCTATAAGGTAAATATGCCCCTTACACTGATTTATGGAAGCCTTGAAACTATTTCCGACTGCTTTCTGTATTTTAGCACAAAGAAGGGTGAAGATCAATTTTATCTGCCCAATGCTGAACCCTTGGCCAAAAACAGATTGTTACCCAATATCATGCTCAATATCCCGAAAGTGAATGCTCTAGGATTGTGGAGGAATTGGTGCAGGGGACTTCAACCCATCATGTTCTTTTTGCAACCATTGCTTTTGAACTAGGTATTGACTGTAATGACATTCGAAGAGTTGTACACATTGGGGTGCCATACTCAATGGACGATTATTGTCCAGAAGTGGGCAAAGCTGGAAGAGATGGTCTACCTGCAGGGGCTGACATATGTGACCACAGGAATTTGATGCTAAAGGTGAAAGCACGCTCACGACACGCTTGCACGACACTCTTAGCGTGCCGTAGATCACGAATATGCCCATATTAAATTGAAAAAACAAAGACGGACACGCTTGCCTTTGTTTTGATAAATTTAACACGCTAGACCTTTTGTTTTTTTGTAGCGTGCCATATGTCACGGTAAGTGTGCGAATTATAGCACGCTTAGCGTGCAATTTCGGTAAGGCACGCTGAACACGCTTGATTACTAAAGCTACTAAGATGATAAAAATGGCTTGGGTTTTCAGCGGATTTAATCAGCATAGATAACTGGTCAAAGTGAATCAAATATACCAATTGAGACTGTTTTGGAATTTGATAGTAGCCATTTGAAAATCACCACTTAATGGTCATCTGTAATGCGAGATCAGTGTGCACCAATTCCTCCGGCTGTTGACTGGAATCGCATTAGACCTGCTATCGCATGCGAGGCACTGAAGTTATGTCCCCTGAAAATTATAGTGATGCCGCCGGAATATTTATTAGCAGTAATGCACAGAGAAATGAAGGTGAATAAATTAGTTTAATATATTTCTTTAAGCCATGCTGAGACGAACGAAGGTAATTAAATCGGAGAAACAAAAACTGCCTAGAATTTTCTATAGGTTGAGGAAGTCTAAACATTTCTAGATGACCTTTCCATGCATGTACAATCAGTTCGAAGCTTATCTAATAAATTCTTTACGATTTTCTGAAGTTTAATTTTTTTCCATTTCACTCCCCAGGTTAAGCTATTTTTCGTAGAGAAAGGAATCCTAAAATTTTCGGAACCGAAAACACGATAAAATTTTAACTTTCCTAAAGCTTTCAATTGGAAGCTAAATTTTTCGGGAAAATATTGCTGAAGCCCTTGTAATGTCCAAAAGGCTGAAGTTGTCTTGGCTTGCGTGGACCTATTATTTTCAGAGAGAGAATTGGCCAACGGCAACACGGCAGGAACTTTTGGCTTCGAAGAGCTTAATGAAGAAAAGATGCGATTTCTGTCATCAAACTTGCGCCATAAGTTTGATTTGATTTTGTAGACTATTTCTTTAGAAATTAGTTTCTGTGTAAACATTTGGTTGTAAACATAAAAGCGACTGTTTCTTTTTGTCTTATCTTAAATTAATTTACTCCTCAAGGCACTACCAAGTTTCAGGAGGGTAACAAATCCACTCGTGCATCAACGTAAAATAGAAATTTAAAAGACGCACTAAACTAGCGCGACATAATAAAAAAATATTTTCGCGCCGCTTAAATAATAGTTTGCTACACAGCCATTTTCAGTGGAAGGAGCGTTGCGTGACGAAACTAAAAAGGCCGTGTAGCAGACTATTTTAAGACACTTAAATAATTGTAGCCATAATACTTCTGATGACGCTAAATCGGTCGCTGTAACTTCATAGTGCAAATGTTTGTTTAGATGGTTGTAAAACAGATGGTAACCACAAGAAAGACAACAGGATGATTACGGAATTTGGACAATAAGCCTGAAGCATACGCGATGTAATATTTAAAGAAGAACAAATTTACATACATTATTTTAATGCCGGTTTCGCTTTTTGTGTTATTGCCAGCCGGATCAATTAACCCACATTGAAACCGTTTTGGAATTTTGGTACATCTAGAAAAGCAGGCTAGTTTTCATTTGATCACTACGATCCTTGCAATCGCTAGAAATAAATACAATTTAGCGATCCTGGCTCTTGATGATTGCTATTTGATCGCTGCGATTGCTGCGATCAGCGAAAAAGTGACTTAATTAAGTCCGAAAGATCACTGTTTCTGAGAAAATTGTAAATATGTTTTAAATTAAGGAAAGTTAAGATAACCTTTGCACAGCTTCGTCAGTAAACATTTCTGGAAAGAGATTTGATTTTGCAATGCTAATAGAGTTCTACCCATAAATCCAGTAGGCCCCACCGTTCAGTGTTTATACTTTTCAAGCGACAAACTTTTTCTTTCTCGATAGTTACCAAAAAAGGGTGCCGTTCATAATCATTTATGGTTCCTTTTTGTAGAGGAAATTTATTTAGCGTGTAGATAACACGCCTTGCATGCTTTTGCGCACACTGAAAGCGTGCTGTGCTTTTTCGCACGGAGCTTTTGTTTGAAAACTTTAACACGCTCTTTTGTTCGACTTGCTCACGCTTAATTGTCTCAAGCGTGTCCTCTGAAACAAAAGAAATTGCTAATGAGGCAAGATTGCAAGCATGCTAAAGCGTGTTAAAATAAATTCTTTTGTTTTAAAGTGAAAGCGTGTCGTGCGCGTGCTTTCACCTTTAGCATTAAAATCCTGTGGAGGGTCACATATATTACAACTCATATGACATCTCCAAATCAAGAAAAAAATGACAGATGTGATGAGAAACTACGTCAAGTCAAAAGAAGGTAAAAGAAAAATGATTCTGAATTATTTTGATCATAAAGTTCCTTCCACCCAAGGACCAGCACATATGTGCTGTGATTTTCACAGTGCTCAGTGTGCTTGTGATGACTGCCTATTGGCAAGAACTGCAGATGACATGGACTGTGCAGATACCAGGTACCCTGATCAACCATGTGATTCTTCAAGAGATCAGTCAGATAATGAGCCAACTCCTTTGTTCAGTGAGAGTATTCAAGCAGAAATCAAAAAGGCCGTATAAATTACAGACTGAAATTACAAAGTGAAGTAGGCAAGAGTACAGCTGACAGTGCGGCCCTCTCAAGTGGATTTTCTATCAATGTTATTGAGTTAGTTCTGCAACACCTTCCCGAATTGGCATCTGTTGAAAAAGTTGAAAAAATTGTCCCTGTATATAGTTCTAAGATTGCAAGGGAGGTTTTTTGAATTATTCAGAAGCATACTTCACCCCAAGCTCTAGCATAGCATAAAAATAATAATTATAATTAACAAACAACGTGACTGTAGGGTACATTTAAGTGGATCAACCCCATCGTATTTTCTTAATATCTTAAACAATATCGCTTCCTTCTTTTAAAGGCTATAGATATAATTAGTTACTTGTAGTAACATCAAAGAAGACTAATTCTCATGGAAGCCCTAGAAAACAAATGTCAAATCTGAAAATATGTGACCCTCCACGGGGTTTCAAGGAATAAGGTGAATGCACGCACATGGCATGTTATAACACGCTCGCACGCCAATGGCATGACACGCTTACCGGGCGGGTATGCGCATAAAAACAATTGATACTGGGAAGTGTGTTCGTAGCCATTGGTCACGTCTGGTTAACACGGTAGAGGTTTGTTTTTAACATGCTATGTTCCTTTGTTTCCTCAACACGGTAGAATTCTTAACACACTATTATATATATCTCACCTTGTACAACTCAGCTTACTAATCGTTACTTCTGTTTGTCAGCTTCTTCTTTGAGAATGGTTTTGTTCAAGTATATTACTTACAGAATATAAGCAAAAATGAAGAAAATCTATCGTCCTATTCGAAAGTTTTAATAAGAAAAGGAAAACATTACAGAAAATCACGGCTCTTTCCCTCAGGATTTTCACAATCAATACACTGATTCTATTTCTTAAGTTGCAATTTTCAGATTACACTCTTCCAAATTTGCATAAAGCAAACGTGAGTAATAGGCAACGCAACACTATCCATTTGAATGAGAAGAGCGTGAATTACACTGGCTTCTTTGATTCTCCGTGTTTTTTATGTAGAACAAGTTGTTGGCAACAAAATATTTTGTTTGTAATGTAAACATGCAGAGAGCAAAAGTGTTTGGGTTTCTTTTGAAACGTTTTGTTTACATAGGATATCTTTAGCTTAGATTTTTCGTCTGATAAGGGACCGTGGAGTTCATAGTCTGCTACATGAGCAAAAAATCCACTCCATGATCGGCGCTTGTGTACGTGTGTTGTTTTAAAAAGGGCAAAATAAGAGTTTAAAGCCGATAAACTTGTGCAAAGGAGGTCAAACAAATCTTGAAAACATTGAGTTAAATGACCGCTCGAACAAGTGAATTTTTTTGAATGAATAGCGTAACTCGTCTCCCATGCATGTCATTCGACAGAAAATTCAAAGGAATGCCATAATACAGATGACCAAGCCGTTCGAACGGCCTAATGTCTTCAACAAACGGGTGACCAAGTCGTTTGAACTGATTGATGTTTCTAACTAACCGGTAGGCTCGCAGCTCTTACAAGGTCGGATCTGATTGGTTCTTGCAATTGTTCGGCGCCGGGCGTGGCAGCCAATCAGAGATCACTATTTCACTGTTTCAGCAGTCGCGTCCTACTCACTGCAACTAACATAACTAAGTCAATGTTAGAGGTCTAGCATCGGTCTACATCAAAGAAATATATTAGTTTTTGTACATCGGACTGTACGCATATTGTTTGAGAGAAAGAAGAAGAGATTGTTCGTTTGTATTGAAGAAGAAGGAGGCTAGAGGAAGAAGAAGAAGGCTTCTCTCAAACACTACGCATAGCTGTGCTAGAAGGCTAAGCTAGAGGAAGAAGACATACGTACCGACGAAGGAGAAGGCTTCTCTCAAAAAATAAGCATAGATGTGGTAGGTATGCTTATCTTTCATGCAGTTGTCTTATACCTCTTCGCTACCTCCTTGTTGTGAGACTTGACATTTCTCCTTTATTTCGGTTAGGGCTTTCACATACATAAGTTATCATCTGTTTTTAGCGTAGGATGTTCATTGTTAAGTTGAGATGTAGCCTTTGATTTTGGCGATATATATCCTTAAAGTGATCGCTATACGATCGAGTTACGAGACTTTTGAATTTTTTTTCTTATGAGACTTGTTTTTTCTTTCTTCTAGACCAAGACGGATACCAGCATTTGTAGTCTGCCATCGACATCCTGATCTAAATGGTAAGCTTTCTACGCACGAAAGTAATCTTCTATTAATTATACACTAGTCAGTTGCAACCACGACCTCCAACCCTCCGGGGAATAGTGTAAAGGCCATCCCCATAAAATGTTTCGTTTCCCATCGCCCGTCCAACCCATTTTTTTGGAAAAGTAAAAAAATAATAATAATTCCAGAATCACTTGTAAAGAAGCAAGTACCTTAATTTATTAACACACGATCTTCCAGTTGTCTTATTAACCCCAATTGTCTTAAATTATCATCGACACTTCGTTTTTGTAGCCTTTTTAGACGTTTGATAGTCCTGGTAATATACATCTTTTACCATCTGATTATATCTTGAAGACTAAACGTGAGATTTAATATGCAATCATGTGTTCATTCTTTTTTCTTGGCCCGACCGACCGACCCACCTTCACGAGAGGGAGGGCGATGGGAAACGAAATATTTTATGGGGATGGCCAAAGTATCCTTGTAATTTGAAGGATTTATCCCAGGTCCCAGGGACAGGTTCACATGGTAATTACCCCCCCCTAATAAGCTGTCTGTCGTCAGATCTCTCCTCCATACAGAAACCAAAAAAAGCCATATATGAACCGACATATTTTAAAAACTTTCAGATACTGATCAAAATGAGTTCATCAGTGATGATAAAGATTCATGTACTGGTCTACAAATCATGCATTTTTGGACAAACACGAGTGTACATTTGTATTTTGCTTAAATTTGTTGTATTAGTCACAAATGCTTGGACTGACACAGCCATATCATAAATAGCATAGCCCAGGAGAATGTTGGGCAGCATCAGTCTCTTATCTTATCAAAGTTGTTAATTCTTCGCAAGGGAGTGGCAAAATTACCTTTTAAACTCTGCTTAGTTTCCATTGAAAGTCACAGCCTTCATCAAAGCTTGACATCATTGATCATCATTGATAGATGTGTGTAGCTGTAAATTTTAGCATTCTTGTTTAATAGAAGTTTGCCCATCCTCTCCTCCCAGCTGTTACGTCTGTCTCTTTCTTCTAATTCCTTGCTACTGCTGCCTTCTCCGTCCAGTTTTTATTCACTTTGCCTTTTGCTTTGTGTTTAGTGTACTTACGTTTTGGGGGGAAATTTTCGCAAACATCCAAATGATTGTTAAATTATCTCTAACAATGTAAAATCTTTTCTCTGAGTTGCTTAACTGAATCATGCTCGTTTGCTTGTAAGCCAAGTGTCAAAGAACACTGATGTAACTGGTTGTTTAGGGTTGAATATAGCCTGTGTGACAAGTGCAATAAGGGGAATAGTTTTTAACTTGTACTTTTAACGGTACTTTTCTTTCTCAGCTTAGAGTTATTTATTTTTATCTGCTTGGCGCCCCACCCAAAGTCTCAGTGTTAATGTGATAGTCTTAATATTATTTGGACCCCTTATTTAGATAGCCATATTATTTATAATACATTATTTTTCTTTCACTTTATAGGCTTCTTGTGAGCGAGGCAAGGGCAAATGTCCCAACTTTCCTTTCGGATATGCCAATCGGTATAAAGAGCCCAAGTGTACCAATTGTGGTTTCTATTTGGGAGGCACTTTTATTCCCTATAACCCCAAGAAACCCAAAATGGACATACCATTGTGCACTTCAGTTATTGTTGGTCCATGGAGCGTCTACTCGTGCAAGACCAGTAACCATGACGACAGATGTCTCGTCATCAAGGACTGTAGATATGATTCTCCAAGCACTATTTGCTTACACCACCTGTGCAAACAAGCCCGTGCGGTGATGGTGAACAGCAGTTCTTCTTCTCTATTCACATGTGAAGACCATTGAATCTGCTGTTCAACCAGAAAAACGGTACTTTGATTTTCCTGACTTGCAGGTATAGCAGTGTGGTGACACAATGAGGAGTGATTTGTTGAAACTCAAGGAGTTATCAGGAAATCTACCATTAGCTGTGAAAGTTTCTCCTTTAATGATCTGTGTCTTTGGACATGTCTCATCAAATAATCCTGCTGGGTACTGCCATGGGAAGGTGCAGGAAGATGCCCACAGATAATGTTCCAAGGACTGCAAAACATTTGTTGCAAAGGCAAAACAAAACAAAGCCAAAAATATATGCATACACGTTCATATATTAATTAGCCTTGGGATCATATCTAATGAGACTTTTGACAAGACTACATCTATTGCAGCATATGCTTCTAGATAGATAGAATCCATGTCATCATCAACAGAATCAGCATCTGCTTCTGGATCAATCGAATCCTCTCCATCAGCATTAGAATCAGCATCTGCTTCTGGATCGATGGAATCCATGTCATCATCAACAGAATCAGGACCAATCAGTACAAATAGCACTGATAATTCTTTAGATACTGGCAGCCGTTTATCAACTGTTCAACTGAACATGAAGAGATCCCTACCCCTACAAATACCCAGTGCTGTCATTGGCCAGGCACATTCCATGGATATCAAGGGATGGCCTCCATCACTTTCACCCTCTTTCTTTACTTGCAGTTTAGCAATAGTCCATTGTCTGAACCAGAGTCATCCAGGCCAAAGAGGAGACGCCATAGTTTTGACTAATTAATTCCTGGGCTAATAATAATAGATGAGCTAGCGAGAAGTAGTTTACACTATTCCTCAATGATAGTCTTATTCAATTTCAGTTGTCCATGGTACCTCAAATATTATATGTTCTTTCCATCATGCAAGCAGCACGGAAAAATAGTTTTGCTTTCTTTGAATAAAATGTACATGTAACACATAGCCGAGGTGATCCATGGCGTTTATTTGTAGTATTTGCACCAAACTACTTCACCTCATTTAATTGACGTAAAAACATGTACAGCTTTAGTTCCAGTAGCTTAGGAACAACCAATTCAGTAAAAACTGTTGAAGTAGAGTAATGAGGAGTAACGTTCTGCTGATGAATTCCACACAGCTTGTAACAGTCCTACTCAGGACTACTTTCACCCGGTCGATTCTACTCAACCTACTTATGAGAGTAACGTTCTTGCTAAACCAAAATTTCGGCGAAACTTGGCATTAGAAATTGAGCTGCGCAATTCTAATTCAACTCCCAACATTGTTGGGTGGTACTTCAATATTGCTTCCGTTTGCACTCCCTGTAATCACTAGTGTTGCGAGTTGTAGGGTCCCCTTGTGCCTATAGCATAATACTTAACTAATAGAGATGGACCTTGTGAGAGTAAGCTTTTCAGACAGGCCAAAATCAGGATACCAGAAGCTTTCATCGTAATAAAGTATAGTAAGGCCTGGGTCAGACGCTGAAGTTTTCATGAACCGACCCTAATACATTGAGTTAAGTACATGAAAAGGTCGACGTCTGAATCAATTAGAAACGCCTGTTTAATTCGAATAGGTTCGGCTCATGAAAAGTTTGGCGTCTGAACCAGGCCTAAGGATCAGAAAATGCCCACTTTTAAAAAGTAAGCTTCATAACATAAGTCTTATAAAATTATTTCTCATATTAGGAGCAGAGAAAATAAGAGCCCAATCTCCGAGCTTTAAATGAGACGTAGCCAGTGTACATTGTTTAGGTTTTATCTAGGATCTTTAGGAAATTGAAACTAACGTGCAGTAAAGGAAGTCAAGTTGCATAATAATAAAAATGATAATAAATACATTCTTATATGGCGCATTTACAAACCTCAATACACCTTCAATAATTTACAAACCGAAAACAAAATCAAAATCCTTATCTAATTAAGTTTACCATAATGCTTACTACAATAAAAAAGCTTTCCTAAAAAGATGAGTTTGCAACTTGTTGTTAAAACAGATTACAGTCTTGGCATTCTTAATGTTCCACAAGTTCGGTGCCACAAAAGAAAAAGCTCTACACCTGAAGTTTTCAGTTTTAGCTTTTTGAGGACAGCGTAGTGAACGTGACCCTGATCTTAAAGTTTGTGACGGTTGGTACAGTACAATAGCCTGTCTGCAAGAGAACGTGAGTGTCGGCATGAAGAGGGTGAAAACCAAAGTGTTCATTCAAGATCCTTTCAATCCAGTGCTGTTCACGGAAAATGTAGAGAGACATGTCGATGTGTGCTATATTATTTGTGCCCTAACCAGCTTGAACTACCGTTTAAGATATCTTAGAGCTTGAAGAAGGTGATGTTGTTCTTCACTTTGATGTGCTTCAACATGCCAATGAAGTTGTCACTATTGAAGAGGCAGCTGAGACAGCTGAGCTGACAGAAACTGCAAATAGAAGGTAACACAAGTAAACAAATATGAAGAACAATGACAAAACATTTTGGGGAATCAAGGGAAGAGCACAAATGTTTTTGGGATCAAGGGAACCTGAGGTCAAAACAGTTTAGGGAAAAGTGGTTTTATTAATAGGGAACAGGAGATAAAATAAAAAAAAAACATTAAGGGATCATGGGAACATGCCCCCCTGGGAGGGACTAATCCCTATAACAACCTACATGAACTGTGATTTAAAAAAAGACAGATGAGGGACGTTCGAGACGATGCATACACCTAGTAAAACAAAAGACGCTTTAGCAAAGCGCCAACAACTCAGGACGCACCAACGAAAGTCCTGTCAAAAAGCAACAAAGAGATCAGAAAGATGAAGGCGAAAAGGCGGGATAAATTGAAAATGAAATGCCCAAATAGCACAAATAGCGCGTGTTTTAGGTTCCATTCTTGATGGGAAACTACTCAACCTCCTGGTGAGTAGGCTAGAGGCGAAGATCGAATGTAAAATCGAAGAGCCTGAAAACAAGTTTCAGAAGATAAAAGATGAAATCAAAGAGTTCAAGGAAGACGTTAATGACAGCATCAACCACGTAGAACACGTGCTAAGAAATTAAATCCTTGGCACATGACAAAATGCAAGATGGACGCGTGTTTCTGAGCTCCGATAATAATCTTACTTTCTGACTGACTATTATCAACATGGTTAACAAAACTATCAAGCTCATAAAAAGGAAAATGATGACCTTAAAAGCCAAATATCAGTTCTTACGAAAGAAATTCGAGATTGGAAAGCATTAGTCGAGAATCACCAGTGGCAAATGGAACAGCAGAACAATGGCGCCTCGGGTTCCCTGAAGGACATGGAAAACAGCATGGACTTTGTAAGTGAACAATATGACGGGTTTCCAGCTTTCCAGAAGGCAGTGTCCACAAGACTTAAGGAACTTTCAGCCTCACTCAATACTATCTCTAAGAAGGTAAACGACCTAGCGCAAGCCATCGACAACTTGGAAGCCTACAGCTATTGGTATAACCTAAAGCTCGTAGGAATACCTGAGCTACCTGACGAGACTGCGACGGCAACGGCCAACGTCTGTGTCCTCGGTGCTAGTGTTACCACCAATGACATCGATATAGCACATCGTGTTCCGAAGAGATCTACAAGGAGTGAAGACGAGAGGTCTTCGCACAACACCATCATATGCAAATTTACCCGTCGGTTACCCCTTCAAGAGATAATGCAGCAAAGAGTTTGAATCTCCACGATACATCCTTCTGAAATTGGTTTGCCATATGATGTGCTTTTAATCTCAGCAAGAATTTTCGAAAACTTAATGCCAAACCTACAACAGCTACTCTACGAATCAGAAAAAGTGTCAACAACAATTAAAATTTAAATTTTGCTGGGCCAAAAATGGAGCTTTCCTCATGAGAGAAACCGGTACGTCTCCGATCTTCAAGCTGTAATCTATGGATGATTTAGCGAACTTAAGCTCTGGCTCAGCGCCTTAAACTGCACTATGGATATGTATATTAAGTGATGTGTTATGGACGAATATTTGCATCGTACGGACAAACAATCTCAGGTATGCTAAATGCATTATTAATTATTCTTCTTTTCATGTCCTTGCGTGACAAAAGAGTAGAGAGAGAAAACAAACTACTTCTTAAGGAACTACCTTACTATGGGTGCAAAGATCTTGCTTCTGCACTTCTGCAATTTAATAATTTGCTCACATCCGCTCTGTCCAGAAATCAACTTGACAAATTGAATAGCTTATTTGACCTTGACCTCTTTAATTTGAATGTACCTACAGTTCAACAGGTCAAAGTCAGCAGCAATCATAGCCACTTTAGATGTAACTACTTTTCACCTCATAATTTCCTCAGGCAAAAACATAGGCTAGCTCAGTCTGACAACCTTTTCTCTATCTTCTATAATAATATTTGAAGTCTTAGCAAGACCCTTGAAAACCTTTAAATTCTGTAAGTAGTTTTAAATATTTGGGAGTTATGTTGTCTTCAACTTTCACATGGTCCGACCATATTGAGTATATTTCATGTAAGGTTAATAAAAACCTTGGTCTTCTACGTAGGATTAAGTATTATTTACCTTATGATGCCCGGTTACTTTTTTATAATAGCTTAGTGCTACCTATTTTTGATTATGCTGATTTAGTCTGGGGTGACAAGGACAATGTCTCACTTATGAAGGAATTGCAAATTCTCCAAAACAAAGCAGCTAAGTTGATATTAGATAGATCACCTCACTCCTCATCCACCGATGCATTGATTGTCTTGAGATGGCTGAATCTTGAAGAACGTAGGAAATGTCATCGATGTATATATGCATACAAGTGTATTATTGGCCAACTTAATCATTCTTTGGACATTGTAAGAAAGAGTGATATACATTCCTACAATACGCGCAATAACGATACTATCAAGCTCCCCAAAATTAAATATAATTGGGGAAAACAACGTTCGCGGTACCACTGTTTCAAAGACTTTAATGAATTAGAGAGAACTGTAAGAAACTCAGCAAGTTTTCCAATTTTTAAGAAGTGTCTTTTTTCTGCTTTTTATAATTGAGTACTTGTAGTGTGTATGTTTTAATTATTTCTGTAACTCGATTTTAGCTTGAATTTTTTTTTTTTTTGTTTTTTTTTTTTGTATCATATATATCGATTTTAGCTTAACCTTTTTATATTTTAATTGTATTATATAATATACATCTCGTAATTAGGACCTCTATGTAAACCACTCTTGTGATGGAGCATCCTATTAAAAGATTGTTATTATTATTAACCTCCAGAATCATCTACTTAATCAGCTTGATACCCATTTCAGTATAATTGGAGTATCTGAAACTAGGATAGTTAAGGATAAAGTATTACTTTTCAATCCAAATTTACCTGGCTACAATTTTGACCATGTACCAACCCCTCTATCAGCTGGAGGTGTTGGGCTTTACATAAATGAGCTTATCCCCTACAGAATTCTAGAAAAGGAATCTACATCATTCAAGCCTTGTGGTGTGAATTAAACATGCGCAAAGGAAAAAATATCATTTGTGGAGTGGTATAAAGGCAGCACAATTGTCCAGATCGTTTCCCAGATTATCAGTATCTGTCAAGCAAACTTGAAACTCTATGCGCCTGAAATAAATTATGAAATTATCCTACTTGGTGACTTCAATATAGATCTCCTTTAAGTTGAGAGCTGGAGTTACAGCCAAAACCTTTTTGAAACTTTACAAAGTATATCTCTGCTTCAAACTATCGACAAGCCCACAAGGTCTTATGGTAGCTCTGCTACCTTCATTGATAAAATTTTCATTAATAGCCTGGATAAGTTTGTACTTAGTGGTAACATTGTGTCTGACATCAGTGACCATTACTCACAGGTTTGCTTCCTGTCTAGCAACCTTAAGAGAATTTTTAATAGTAGAATCCGCAACAGGATCTTTCATCATTTAACCAAACTGATTTTAACAATGACCTCGAGCTAATCACCTGGCCCCCTAACTCTTACGCTGACTGTGCATTTAATGTCTTTTGCAACGAACTTAACAGACTAGTTGATAAGCATGCACCTTTTAAAACAGTATCTAGACGTAAAGCTAAGCAGATGGCAAAGCCTTGGATAACCAAAGGCTTACTCACCTCTATACGTAAGAAAAACAAGTTATGCCACGATGGTCTACGGGATGAGTACAAATTGTATCTTGTTAACTCGTTTAAGTAAAAGGAATTACTACAACTCCTTTTTCGAACTAAATCTTAATAATATGAAGGCAAACTGGGAAGGGATTAATAACCTTATATCTTCCTCCAAGGAGAAAGTAAACCCGATCAAATCCAAGTCAGGATTTTTGAGATTCACAATCTTTTTGGGAAAGGATTTGAAAGAGTATTTTTGACAAGTGGTTTTCCGAACAAAAATGGTACACAATAGATGCCGTACATTTATGACATTGTAACTGAACCTATATTGGTGGCGCCTTAACTTTGAACCATTAGTTACGTGTATCATTCCATGTTTGTCATCATTTACATTAGCCTGAGAAAACAGACGATATTTTGCGACGCCATCACTGGTTTGCCTGCGAAATAACGTCTGAGAAACACCTGAAGAAACTCCATACTGATGACGTGTCCCTACCCAGATCTGGGTAGTGTTTCTGATTGGTTGAAGCAAATTTCCCTTGAAGCATGCGCGCTCTGTGCAAAAGCTTGTGAAAGCTGTGTTCCATTAGTTCAGAATAAAATGGCGGCAGAAAGCTGCGTGTTGTGCATCAACACGATAGAAGATACTTCGTCAAGATACATATTACACGCCAAAACAAAAAGCAGTTTAGAAGGAATAAATTTGAGAAGTGAATTACCGTTTGAAGTGAAGTTATCAGAGACGAGAGAAGTAAAGTATTTGTGCCAGACTTGCCTTTGACTTCTAAAAAAAGGAAAGGACTTTTGGAAAACCTTAAACACGTGGAGAGTCAACTGCAGTTTCAACAAAGACCTTCGGAAAGCTCACAGATTGCTGATAGCACACCATAAAGACGTCAATAATGCCTTCATTTCCGGAGAACCTGTCACTCGTCCCACAGTCAAAACAGATTTATACGACGCGGTTGAATTTGGGATTTCCGGTATTTCCTACGTCTTCAACTTGCCCTCAATCCTGCAGTAGTGAACAGCAGTATAGGCCCTGGTTGTTCAATGTTGGATATTGCTTACCAACGAAAAAATCACAATCCAGCAGATGAGTATCAGGCAAATTAATTGCATTACCCGGCCGTTTTGAACAACTGGGGACTGGTAAAAACTCATGTCAGTGCTGGGGTGTACCAACGAAGTTCTAACCAGCACATGCTCTCACTCAGTAAAAGTTAATTTCCTTAGGGTTTATTTAAGTATATGGGGGCAGGGGGGCGGGGGTGACAACTCTAACAGGGTCTGTTTTACGACAAAAATTCTACCAGGATCGAAGACAGCCAGTATGGGTAAGTTCAGGACCCTGGCAACGAAGACCATAGCAAATACAAGAATCACTCCTAGAGGAGAGAGGCTAGGAGAATTTCTTAAAACACCACGGTCTTAACAAAAGCCTTGATGAATTCCAGTTCACATTAGTCATAACTCCACTCACTGAAGGCATGTTTGGCGTCTACAACCAAGGCGAAGTGGTTTCTTCTACACTTGAATGTTTATCTCTTCTCCCGCAGTGCACTGGAATGCACAATGAGATCTGCAATGGGGCTTAAATTTAACAGCAAGAGGGAAACACGCTATAACCATAAAGATGATTGTAAAATTCCCAACATACACACCTTCATCAAGAAAAGTCCACGGTTAAAGAAAGAAGCAGCAGAAATGCCTTTCACATCAGGACTCCGATCTTGTCAATTTTAATAACCTGCTTGTAAATAAACCAATAAACCCTTGGCTGAAGTCAAACACACAAGAAACTGCCGACAAAAGAAAAGAGAGCAGCAGGAAGAACATTGAAAGAGCCAGCCGACAGGTCAACAGAGGTCAGCATAGAAAGGCACTGAAAGCAGCGTAGTCAGAGTTGTTGGCCATTGGGTGACCCAAGTAGGCTAAGAGCACTCAGTGAAGGGCGTACAAGAGCCTGACAGCGCAGCAATATGGACACCAAGGGAAAACCTAGATCCCACTCCTGTGACTGCCTACACAAGACGAAAAAGAGCTTCTTGATGCTCAATCAAATTAAAGAACTTGAAATCATATGGAGACCTGTCTAAATGTAGCACCCAGTCAGGAAAATTTGTCATGACAAAACGATATACAGTAAACACCAGCGTGTAAGAACCTGGAGATTTTCTTGAGTTAGCTCGGCATTCATGTATAAATGGATTTAACACAAATTTAGTTATTTTAGGTTCGAAAACAGGTTTTTGCTTTCTTTTCTGAAGTAAAAATTACAATGTAGCTTAGGGCATTTAGTTTTATTATTGAAGAATCTTTAACATATAAAATCTGTACATTGTTACATGGTAGTTGGAGTGATGAGGGACACGTCTCCAAATAGAAACCTGAATCAGTGTTGGCTAATCTTATATATTTGCTCAAGTGTACAGAATTTTAAATAGATTGCAAAAAATAAGAACATGTTTCAAAAGTTCGGCTAAACAAATGCTTCTTCTGTATAGAGGCGGCTTAACAGGCAAATTTTAGCCTAACAGGTTCTTAAAAACAAGGTTCTTACTGAGGGTTTTACCGTATTGAGTAAATGATGCAAACTTTAAGACTTTATTCCGTATGAAACAATGGTAAAAAAGACTAACACAGACATATTCGGAATTACTAAGGAATCATATCCTTTTTCAATCGTTTCAATGTCGGGGGCCATTTTTTCAACTCCTGCTGTTCTGTTTACAGTACAGTTATTGGGTTCATTGATGTTGAGCAATAATGCAAAGCTAAGATTGTTTTATGTATCTCGTTCTCCATAAGTAGGAACAATGATTTTAAATAGTGATCAAACAACGGTAATCAGTATTACACCGGTTACCACTAACATGGCCTTGGAAGGGTTTTTTCTGTCTGTTGAAACCTGAGTTTTTGTGCACGTCAGTCAACTGTTTCCGTAATTTTCTCATGCACTCTGACAGAGAAGGTTTCCTCGTCGCTGAATGATGGGCTAAGAATTAAAGAATAATTTCGAATGACGACAGCATTTTTATTTCATTAAGATGAAAGATTACATTGTTAAAAAAAGGTGAGTGAAATAGCCAAAACACTCTCTATAGTTTACGTAAAGGTTTTCAGGTTGTTTATTTACTTGATTGTATGAACATACAGGACCCGTGGACGATTTGCAAGGAGTAGAAACTCAAAGAAAGGAACAATATCACACTGACAAGGGAAAAAAGTTTCCTCTGAACGGACGCTGTTTTTGAAAATGAATTTCTACTTATCATCCTTCATGTTATCGAATAGAATCTAGAACTACCTGCAGTACCAAGAACTCAGACCAGTTGCGAGCTTTTATTGAGAAAGCTTATGTAGTTGTAACTTACAGTGTGTCAATAAGTTGTTAATTTAAGTTTTCTCCGACAAACACTCAACAAATAAGTACCCCTTGTAATTTTGACATGACGCGGTGTCAGATCCTGTAGCAAAATATTGCAAAGACAGCTTAAATGCTGGCATGTTCCTCCGAGTGCTCGAGAAAGCAAGAAAGAATCTTCTCTTGGCCAATGCGAGAAAACCATGGTAATGGTTGATTGACGTTCACCAAACCACAGGTTTGAACCGAAGAAAAAAGTCTTTGAGGGCACGTGTTCGTGGTAACCGATGTAAATGATACCTGTTGCTGATTTGTGTAATTTATAACTTTACCAATCAGTTAATCTAGGTGGTAGTTCCTCTGTATGTGTTAAGGCATGATGCAGGCAAACTGCAAAAATGGTTGCATTTATTGCAAACTCGGCACAAAAGAGAGGAGAGATATGACTTTGTACTACTGTTCTCCATATATAAATAATTATCAAAACAGAAAACAAACTGTGAATCATATCTATATCATGTATATGTACATTATAACAGTGATTTCCTTTAGTATTTATGTAGGCAGAATCTGGACAGGACTGAAGCCTACTTCATGTCCAGACAAATGAAAAGATTATTGCATGATAGGTGGAAACAGGCCCCTGGTTGAAACGAGCCACCTCTCTTTATCATCTTGATTTACCATGTGATCATCGATGAACTACACCCACTTTTTCGAAAAAACAACAGATTAGAGGCTGGACTAATCTACCAGGTTTTGGATTGGGATGAGGTGGGCTTAATCAGTAGATGCAGTTAACTATAAAAAAATATAAACAAGGTGGTTTTTCCGACCTCTCCAGGTCTCTCCTATGCAAGATTTAACTCTCACCAGTAAATGTAGGTTAAGTGTTGCAACAAAAAGCAATCATGATTTATGTAACATAATGTTAGCTATGAAAATGAAGAAATGATCGTTGCAGTGAACGCAATTTATGCAATTGCGTAAAGAAGCCTGAAAAAAAAATTCAGGACTTCAACGGGATTTGAACCCGTGACCTCGCGATGCCGGTGCGATGCTCTAACCAACTGAGCTATGAAGCCACTGACGTTGGGAGGGGTTCAACGGGTTCAAACCCCGTTGAAGTCCTGAATTTTTTTCAGGCTTCTTTACGCAAATTGCATAAATTGCGTTCATTGCGATGATCATTTCTTCATTTTCATTTCATTTCCGCAGTTCATATATGATTTATTTCATATATCATTAACATAATGTTAGCTACTTGTGTACATTGACAGGAAGTAAATTATGGCAAGCTAAACAGTCTACAAAAAGAACAACCCCTGCAGGACAAGTGGAAAAGGACATCCCTTCTTGGGGGAAGAAAAAGCGACTACTCCAAAAGCTTACCGACAGGTTTTGAAAATTTCTTCATCAGCAGAGCATCACTTAAACACGGAGACCGCCTATATAAGGAACATTGGACTGGACGAGCTGTCAGTCATTTGACTCTAGACGTCGACCCGTCAACATCATAGAGTGAGTTAGTATCACGATACAAGACTTAGCTAGCGTGGCTACTAAAAAGTTGTAATAGTGACTAGACAAAAAAGAGAAAAGTGCTAGGAGCTCCAGCTACCAATGTTGCAAAGTGAGTGAGGGTAGGTAAAACCGTCCTTGAATGTTTGAAGCAAGTCTTTTTTGCGTATTTTTGTTTCAATTAAATTCTATCTTTTTGGGCCTTTTTTTGTCTGTCTTGAAATTATTTTCAGCTGTATTTTGGGTTCCTTTGCTTTAAGTTAACTGTTGAAATACCGAAGGAGAAGCAAGAATGTATTATCCATCTACTTGGCTTGCAGGAGTGTTGTGAAGTTGTCTCCATTCGACAGGTTCAATCGGGGCACGGTTAGTACTGCAATGATCTTGAACAATGTATTGTCACTTTTTATTTATGGGCTAAAATTTTCCCCTAACATCATGGTTGCAGAGAATACACCGCAGGGTATTCCTTCGCTTTTGTAAAGGAAGTAATATGGCTTCTTTATTGTTACATATATATATATAGACCAGTAGGTGAACTACGCAAATCCTGAGGGCATGGTTGTTTAATACAAGCCTGTTTCGTAGGCCACCGAAAAGGTGACCCACTCTTCAGTTAAACTCCATTATAACACTGAAGCGTAAGGGTCTACATCAAGAAACAAGAAAACTGATGGCGTGATAAAAATCGTTACATATAACGTTTGAAATTTAAATTTTTAAGAAATTTTAGAATGAAAAGCGCGCGCTTGCTCTCAATCGCCTACAACTCTTATACGAAACCTAAGTCACATGAAGCTTGCGCTACAATCTCTGGCTTTCACATGTTCGATTGTACCTTAGAATGAACTTGCGTCGATGTCTGCATGTAGAGACAAGTTTGTTGCGCTTGTTCAGTGTTGCCATGTGAGGCCTACAGATTAAAAAGAACTTCTCTGTTGTACATGGCAAGTCTAAACAAAAGAAATGAGCTGTCATCGTGTTGTAGACATGTTAGGAAATTCCTGTTAAAAAATGTAACAATGTAATGACATGCCTAGACGTCACGTACGTATCCATTGTTCTGTATTTCAAATTTCTGTGATTGTAACTGTTATTTCTGGCAGTTGCCTGATGACTGCTTCGCAAGAAGCATGAAACTCAGAGTTGCAGTAAATGTTCAAATAACCTAGCTCTTGGAGTATAATTATTCATAGCTCTAGCTCTGCTATTGAGCACTTTATAGTAGATGAGGATTTCTTTCCACTTTTTTGGTTATATATATATATATTATATATGCTCCACTATTTCATTTTTGAAAAGCGTGCCACGTTTACAACGATTATCACTTTACGATTCCATGAGCAGTTTTTATCAAAGACAAAAAAAATTCACTGTGTCCAGCAATTCCATAACCCTAAATAAAGTGTTACATTAGGAAACAGCATTTGGCGCTTCAAGTGGTGAAAATTTCTTGCAGATTTCTGTTTCTGTCTACGACCTCGTATTTATTTCAGAATATTACTAACCCTCTTCTCCGTTCATTCATTAGAAAAAACTACCATTTTTCACTTTTCTTTCCAGGCCGAAAACGTTTCGCTGTGCCAAGAGATGATGATACATCTGTGCCGCCTACACCAGTTCGCATCTTCCTGGCAAGATACGAAGTCGCGTCTCCGGCAGATGTACAGCAGCCCGTCGTATCGGATGATGTAGTAGAGGGAGATGAGAACATTCCAGTTTCGACCTGTGATTTTGCGTAAGAAGCCCCTGCATAACACAGTCGGAATTCAAACCGATGGGTCGTGGTGAGGCTAGAATAACCAACCACACTAAACGCCGTGAGGTTATAAATGGTTCTGGCCCACCCTAAAAGACTGTGGGCTCTGGGAAAACCCAACCTACCTTGCAAGAAAGCAGGAGCTAGGCTGCATGATCGACGACGTACGAGAGGTCATGCCGCTTTGCGTGGTGAAGGACATTCGTGAACGTTGGCCAAATCCACCCAACATCCCTTACCAAGGCCATCGTCGTTCATAATAGCTAATATATATCAGATATTTCTGGTATACCTTAGCTATTATGCCCCTTATAGATCTGTACTTATCAACTCTGTTATTTGTCGTTATATCTCCAAGTCTCAAATAAAGCACGGCCATTATATTCTTGGAATAATTATGTCAATCTCCCATTTTTTTCCATTGTGTTATGACAAGGACCACCTCGCCATCTTCACCTAAAGTCTTTGTAATAAGCACAACATACTTCGGCTATTTTATTTCATATTCTTTTCCTCATCTTGAATTGCGTCTTTTGTTGCCCATTTGATCAAAAATTTATTTACGTAAACATGAATTTCAGTTCTTAAAAAAATTGACTGATTTGGTTTCCAGTCTGACTTGTTACATTTTTCAGACAAATGACACAACATTTTACTCCCATACAGTACTTTTGCCATTTCCTTCACAACTGCAACACCTTTTAGTCACTCCGACAATATAAAATTATCTTTCCTCGCGTTCCTTTCTCAGTGTGACTATTGTTATTCATTTTCCTCTTCTATGGATGAGAAGTTGAGAGTCTAGGAGGTGAGGGGTTGCGTAATCGATTTTTTTCAGTCTTTCTTGTTATGTTGTTGTTTTCCTTTGTTCTTTTTCTTTCAAAAAATACATTCCTTTAACCTTAGCTTATTTGCTATTCACAACACTCATAATGATATGCGAGGTTAAAATAATTCAATAATGGGTTCTTTCATGGCTAGTCTAGCGGTCTCACGTGCGATTACGTAATTACCGATAATAAATTCTGGTTTGGCGCGAAAATAAACCATTCTTGCTCAGTTTTTCAGCTGAGCCGCGAAGAGCCGGTCTCTTTTCTTTTGGAAGATACGACCCACGCGATTTCCTTGACGATTTCCTGATGGCTGAGGGTCAACCTCCGGAGCCGAACGTTCAGTTACTTGTCGATCCTGTAGAGCCAGTCGTGAATCCACCGGTCGTGAACCCGCTAGTTGTGAATCCGCTGGGTGTGAATCCACCGAATGGCAACCAGAATGTTAATGTCGCTCAGCCTCAGGAACTGGAGGTAGTTCTCTTTTAGTTGTTATGAATTCTTTCGTGGCATATTTCTCTTGTCTGTCGTATCTTTCAGGTTCTTCACACAGCATGGTGGAGAGAATAACGGAAATCTTTTCGGAAGATTGTCGGGCTATTCCGCGTGGCTAGTTAACGAACTAGCGTTCGGTGTCTGGCTTGTGGCTGGAGGAACGCCGTGGATTCGCTTATTTTGTATTTCTTTCGGCCTTTGTGGTCGTTGGATGGTTACAAAACCGTACGAGCAAGGTGGCCGATTTGTTCGGCGGTGGCTAGTTGATGGATTAGCGGTCGGCGTCTGGCTCTTGGCTAGAGGAACGCGGTGGACTCGCTTGTTTGTATTTTCTTCGGCCTTTGTGGTCGTTGGATGGTTACAAACCGTACAGGCGAGGTGGCCGATTTGTTCGGCGGTGGTTGGTTGACGGACCAGCGTTGGGCGTTTAGCTTTTAGCTAGAGGAATGCTGTGGACTCGCTTATTGTACAAGCGACGTGGCCGTTTTGTTCGGCGGTGACATCTAGCTTTTGGCTAGAGAGACGCCGTGAATTTGCTTATTTGTATTTCCTTCAGCCTTTTTGCGGTCGTGGGATGATTACGAATGGTGACAGCGAGGTGTCATTTGTGTTTTGTCTTTTCCTTCGGCTGATGTGGCCTTTGGATGTTTGTTATGAGTTATGATAATGGGTCATCGTTAATTGTTGAACGTTGCTAGGTCGTCTTACTTGTATTTTCTCCTTTGGCTGTGCCTGCCGAAGGATGTTTATACATGGTAACGCGGGAAGTTACGTGATGTTTTTGTTTTTTCACGAGGCCTGTAATGAGGTTTTTTATGCATAACACTAAGTGCTTCGCACATTGAGGTGGGCGGTGATTAAGAGTCTCTTGGTTCCTTTGCAGAGATTGTGTGAGGAGGTGAGACAGTTAAAGCAGTCAGTGGAGGCAGTAACCAACGCGTCGCCTGAGAAGCTCGTGGAACAGATCTTGGCTTATGCTTCCCGCCCGTTGACAGAGTTTAACAAGTATGAGGTGCTTGAGATGTTGGAGACTCTGCATAACAAGGCCGCTGACCGTAATCATGACAGGAAGAACTGCTATCGGCTCGTTCATCAGTCGGCGAGGAAAAGGTGGAGTTGTCGAAGGACCACTTCAAGGACCTTGTTATGCGCCTATTAGGAGACAAGGACCACGAGAGGGTCCTGGATATCGTTTCTAAAGTAGAAAAGAAGTCAAATCGCAAGAAGCCTCAAGCGAACGACAACAGGGGTGCTGGTGTGGCACGTCTGTCTCGTCTGTTTTCTTTGCGATGTTATTTTTGTCATAGGCGAGGTCATATCAAAGCTGATTGTCCTGACTTGAAGTCCAAGCAGGGGAAAACGGATCCCAAATCAGACAAGTAGCTTGTGTTTAGATCTCGTTAGTTCGCACCGGTGTTATAGGTTGAAGGCCGCCTGGACAAGGCTGTGTGTTGTAATATTGCTTAATTCTTTGCGATAATAAACAAACTTTTGTGTGTATTGAATCAATCTAGTGCATATTTCACTCTGTCTATTTTGTCAACATAGTTATAACGACTTTGAAAAAGGGGTATCCTTGTGACAAGGGCCTTCCAGCCTCGCTGGTCTTAGCTGTTATTTCTCTGCTGACTTTGACGGGGATGATTTTAATATGGTCTTAGATTTTTCGGCGATTCAGTGTTTAAAGGTGTCTTCACTACCCCTTTTTCCTAGGGAAACATGTGGTGTTGGGAAAAATCTGACTCCTTTGATCTTCGACTTCAGGAGTTACAAGGCAAAGAAATTGAGCTTCCAATGTCCTGGGTCGATTGTTTCGGTAACCCCTTCGAGGTCAGTGGAGAAGTGACAGCCTGTGACCGTGTTAGATTACAGAGAATACAGAGGGGAGAGTTAATTGGTGATATTTCGGAGTTATTGTTCCGTGACCCACATTGTTTTCGAGCTGGAGAATTGCATAACCATTTCGAGTATTGGCAGTACATTGCGCGAGATAGCTCGTCACCCCAACAGGCACAGATTCTTGGGTGGATAAGGGACAAGGTCTCGATTAAGCCGTTTTTCAAGCATTTTAAAGGAAGTTTTAAAGGAGAATTGTTCGATTCAGACGAGCCTCCGATGAAGGTGTTTAATAACAATGGTTCTTGCAAGCCCTTTGTGTCATTTGTGGAGGAAACTTTAGTTGCGCGCTTGAGATCTGGAGCTATTTCGCTGTTGGGGAGAGTGGGTGTGGCTGACCCTCCATTTATTGTTCTTCCCCTTACAGTTGAGCCAACAAAGCCAAGGTTATGTCACGATGCGCGCTATCTTAATTTATGGATGCGTGATATGCCTTTCTCTTTAGACAGGCTGATAGATTTACCGTGTTACGTGGGCAAGGATACCTACCAAACGGTCCTAGACGATAAGTCTGGCTATGACCATATTCTTCTTTCTGAAGACAGCCGCACGTATTTTGGGATCCAATGGGGAGGGTGGTATTTCACGTATAATACCCTTCCTCTTGGGTGGAAGATCTCCCCGTTTGTATATCATACTACTGGCCTGTTGGCTAGTAATTTCCTTAGAGCTACAGGAATCCCTTGTTTGCTCTACATCGATGATCGACACAATGGCGAACTGCAGGTGTCACTCGATAAGGGGGAATACGCTACTATTAACACTGTTGATGATCGTCATCTTGCGGCGGCTAGGTCGGCTATATTTCTTGTTGCTTACCATCTTGTCAGCTTGGGCTATTTCCTTGGTTTGCAAAAGTCAATATTGTTCCCAAGTAAAGTGGTTCCCTACCTTGGTTTTTCAGCGGATTCTTCTAGGGAGGTGTTCTGCTTAAAGCCGGAAAAGAAGGAGAAATTCTTGCAACTTGTCCGTGAAATACTCCATGCCTCTAAGGTTACGGTGAAAACCTTGCAACGCCTGGTTGGGAAATGTGTCTCCTTTAGTCTAGCAGTACCTGCAGCCCAGTTGTTTACGAAGCAGATGAATGCAGCTATTGCCGGTGGCCAACGTACTCCCCACAGGCTAATACCCATCAGGGGGGATCTGCGTGAGGAGATCTCCCATTGGCTGTTTTTGGAAGGTTGGGATGATCTGGTAACATGGCGGGATGAGCGTCATATTCGTGTGTCCGTTGCAACTGATGCTTCTGCATCAGGCTGGGGTGCTATTTTGTTAGCCCCTCATCGTGAGGAAATATCAGATTATTGGACGGAAGAGCAGTGCAAATGGGGGATCGCCGCGAAGGAAGCTACTGCGGTCGACATGGCGTTAATGGCTTTTAAAGACAAACTGTTCAATGCTAGAGTTGATGCTTTTGTTGACAATAAGGCCGTTGTCGAGGCTTGGAACAACCAGGGTGGTAGAAGCTTGGAGCTTAATATGGCATTGAAACGGCTTTTCTTCACAATGTCGAAGCTTAGTTTATCTCTGCACGTGTCTTACATTCCGACTGGTCAGAATCCTGCTGATGCTCCATCAAGGCGCCTGTCCCACTCAGATAGTAAATTGTCAGATGGCTTGTGGCAGATTGTTCAGAAGGAGTTTGGTGGTAGGGAAGGCCATACTTGCGACTTTATGGCCTTGGATTCGAATACTATGACGGATGCGCACGGGTATTCTCTCCCTCATTTTACGCCGATTCCCTCTCCCGGATCGTCTGGTGTAAATCTCTTCACACAGGACCTTGCTTCCCTCGGAGCGCTTATGGCCAGACCGTATGTTTTTCCTCCCATGGCTTTAACGGGACCTGTCTTAAAATTTCTGCAGAGTTTTAAACAGTCGTGCACAGTAGCGGTGCTGGACGTGTTTCCCAAGAAGTACTGGTGGCCTCTCCTTATGAATAAAGCTGTAAAGAGTAGATGTCTGGCTGTTCGTGGCGATGGCAACGCTCTCTTGGTCCCGTCCAAAAAGGGGTGGCTGCCTCACAAGGGCATTCCTGGAGATCTCTGGGTTTTTGCAGTGTGTTTTTAGGTGTGTCTTGGCATACATTTTGATCTGTTGTGCTACTGGTTTGTGGTGTATGATAGGGTTCTTCTTTTCTGGTTTGTAGGAGCTTCCAGTCATGGCAAAGCTGTTTGTCCAGTCGGTTAAATGCCCAACCTGTGGACACGCTAATGATTTTGACTTCCGTTTTTGTCAACGTTGTGGCTACAAGCGAAAGGTTATGACAACGCTTGTCAAGGAACACTCTGATGTTATCGTTGACCTTGATGGAACTGAAGTGCGGTTGCAGCAGTTACTTCACTACGATCAGGCAACCAGTTATAAAAAGCAGAAGGATTCTCTTCAGAGGGAACTTAAGGCTTTTCTTGGTGCTCTGCCGGGTTTTGTTACTCTCGCGACAGTGACGCCTAGGGACTTGTGTCGCTTCCTGATCTTTAAAGACAAGCGTGGCAAAACACAGGTACACCTCAATACGTGTGAATTTTTGGGTCAGCGTGGTAAACAGTCATGTGGCTGCCCCTTGAGATTGTCGTACAAGACTGTGGACTCTTACATAGGAAAGTTAAGATCGATTTTCCATTCCATTGGTCGGGACGGAGAGTGGGACAAGCGGCTAGGTCTTGGTAACCCAGCCTCTGATAAATTGGTTAAAGATTACCTTCGTCTTGTCCCAGCGGAGCAGTTACAGGCCCATGTTACTCCAAAACAAGCCACGCCATTCTTTGTGGACAAATTGACTCAGTTATCGAAGTATCTTGAAGGCGAGCTAGCGAGATCAAAGTCGAAACGTGACCGTTTCATTATCGCACGTGACCAAGCTTATTTTAAGTTGGCGTTCTTTAGTGGGGACCGCCCAGGAGATCTTGGTCAGGTAAAAGTTCCGGAGATCCTTCGTTTTCCAAATGATGATGGGTTCTTATTTAATCATATCTGGGGTAAGACTTTGCGGGATGGTGACAGTAATGTCTTTGGTGTTCGCAGAAATCCCCAGTCGGTCATCTGTCCTGTGAAGGGCGTTGAGCAATATGTCGAAGTGGCAAGGGAGTTAGGCGTTGATTTAACAAAGGGATATTTGTTTCGTCCGCCAACTTCTAATAATGGTGTCCAAGATTCTCCATTTAGTTCTTCAGCAGCAGATGCGCATCTTAAAGTGTATCTCAAGCAGATGAAAGCTGATGATGGTGAGACATTGCATGGCTTTCGTTCGGGTTGTGCGATAACGTTGGCCCTCACAGGAGCGGATCTGTCTGAGATTATGGAACAAGTGGGTTGGGCTAGGAGGCATACCGCCTTATATTACCTTCAGCTGGCCAAGGTTCTGAAACATGATGGCCTGTCGGGGCGACTTGCTACGCCTTCTGCTGAGAATGTGGTGGCTCCATGGCAGGATGTGAATCAGCTGAAACGTTTTGTGTGTGCTTTTCCAGCTGCTGACCAGAGGAAACGCCCAGCAGAATGAGGATACTTTGTTTGGCTAGGGTGTTTTTGGAATGGATTATAACCTTTGTACTATCGTTTCTTTGATGAAGAGATGTTGTTATGGAAACTCATACCAGTTTAGCTTGATTATAATTGTAAACGTATAGCTGTGTCTTACTGTACTTGGGGATTAAAGTTATGAGAGAGGTTGGAGGATTGAGGATTGGGAAGTTGTAAGAGGATTTGAGAGTCGGAGTGCAATTATCTAAGACTATTTAAGGAACAGTGAGGGCTGTTGGGCACTGATCAATCTTTTTTCCCATACCTTATTAGAAGTGAGCATGAATATGAATGTATGTGAATAGAATACTATTCACAACACTCATAATGATATGCGAGGTTAAAATAATTCAATAATGGGTTCTTTCATGGCTAGTCTAGCGGTCTCACGTGCGATTACGTAATTACCGATAATAAATTCTGGTTTGGCGCGAAAATAAACCATTCTTGCTCAGTTTTTCAGCGGAGCCGCGAAGAGGTGGACGGCCCACCCAGTCCCGCCCAAAAATCGCGTGAGTCGTATCTTGAACTCTTCCTAAGCCAAGCTGTCCCAGCTTGGCTTAGTCTGCTGATCAATCTTTTTTCCCATACCTTATTAGAACTGAGCATGAATATGAATGTATGTGAATAGAATACTGCTCAATATGAGTCCATGCATGCTGTGTCAGGGATGAGGCTCAAACTGGTGAACCCGACTCCCATAACTAATTATTGATAAATTATTGATAAAAATAGGGGTCTGTCTAGTCCATATGGGACCTATGTAAAATGCATCACTGGCAAACTTCAACAACACCTTGGTGAAAAACAATTTAAAGATAAAAGTTATTACATACATTCAGTTACGATGATGTGATGATCCAGCATGTTCTGTTATGCAATTTCCTTTTTGAAGAAACTTAATATAAAGCTGGAAAGCAAAAAAGGTGTTTCATCTATTAAGAAGAGAGAAAGGTTGCCCAAATCTCCTCTTTGAAATGGAACGTCTTTTCTGTGAGAACCTTGTGTGGAGCAATCCTGTCAGGCTGGCAGCATGTCTGGTAGTATTGCATAGATGAGGCATCTCGCAGCACATTTTCATTCTGTTCAAATAGATAGACTCAATATAAGCAGTATAATGATCTGAAACTACCTCTGCAGCTCATCAACACTGTGAATATCTCCTAGAGATGGAATTTTCATACATGTGAAAAACATATGGGCCGTGTTCTCCTTATCAGGCGGTAACCGGTAAAATTTACCGCCTAAAGCAACAATTCTTACCGCCTAGTGCAATGACCTGAAAGTTGATTAAAATTAAAGAAGTACTTTTAAAAAATACACAAGTTGTGATCGTTTAATTTGTTGTGTAAGGTTAACAACGGCCGATTTGCGAAAAGTAGGTCTTAACTTGATTGTATGACATTTCAGAGAACTTAGCTTCTAAATTTCCCAGCAAGATCGGGGCCATTTCCCGCACCGCACTACCCGCTTGTCCCCGAAAATGTGCACCTCTGTGGTGCATATTCTTTGCCTTACCGGCTGTGAATGGTCCCTTACTTGCTGAGCTAAAATTTAGGGAGAACAATGCATGGGTGTGTGGTCATTGTAAAAGATATCATTACACATACAGAACTGTGTAAACTTCGTGAAAGAAGATACTAAAATGAATATTTTATTTCATTACCCAGTCAAGAATGGCCAGCTGTATTCGCATTGTGTGGTTCCAGAAAATATCCATACCCAACCCCATGGAAGATCATTGGAAATTCCGAGGGGTAGGGGGAGTTCAAAGGCAGTTATTTCCGAGGGGTAGGGGGGGTTCAAGGGAAACTACTTTTCCAGAAGGTGACGAACCACGAACAAAACATTGAAAGCAACCTACAATCAATCGTAAACACAAAAACAGTACTCCTGGCCATAGAGATGAGGTTAACATCATTAACTTTAATGTTTCTGTTTTTCTTTGTAGTTAGCTAGCGCTACAATCTCCAGCTGAGGATAATTAATTTGATGTGGCCAGGACTTGCTAAATTTTCAGGAAGTATATTAGTTTTTTAATTATGTAATCAGCAAAGAGGACCCGAGGGGACGTCATCTTAACATGCGTGTACCCAACTCAATGGGCAACTGAGCTCGACACTGGAACATGAAAATAGTGTTTGAAGGATTATTAAGCCTCGTGTCTTTTTGTTCAGAATAACATCTGTTTCCAGTTCGAGTGATGTCTTTGAAAACGACCATTTTGAAAAAAAGAATCGTTCCGAGTTGGCTGTAATATTCGCACTCGAATGCCTCGGAGTGTTGCTTTAAGCAACTATAATATTTATTTTTTATTCCTTTAAATCTCTTTGTAGGGAAGACCTCGAAAATATTTGTTTCAAGTGAGCGGTCACATGTGCGCTTGTTCTGTAAGAAGCAACAGAAAAAGGTCAGAAGACACCAAACCAGACAGCATAAAAGTGAATCACAAGTGGCAAAAGCAATGGCCATGGAAACTGCCCAGGAGCCAGATTTGGCATTTGAGAAGCTTCGCCTCTTAGGTGATTACCAACACAACTGTGACGTGTTGGACCTGGGTGAGGGAGAATTAATCGTGGTGCGAATGCCAAAAGAAGTAGAAGAAGGGATTGCGGCTAACTTCTTGCCTTGCCCTAGTTGTATGGGTTTTTTCATGGCGTCAGAGCTCTAGAGGCACCAACAAAATTGTCCCCATCGGTCCCAATAGACCCCCCCAAAATGGTCGACGGTACAGCAAGAAGCTAAGCTTCTATTACCAACAACAGTATTACTGCCCACCAAAGATGTGAAAAAGAGCTTCCATTACATCGTCCTTTCCTCTATGAAAAACGACGAAATATCAGCCATTGCCAGAAAAGACGCCCTAATTGTTAACTTTTGCAACGCTATCTTTGAAAAAGTCGGGACAAAAAACATAAATTATGTTTCCCAAAGAATGTGCCAGTTAGCCAGGCTTCTCCAAACATTACGGAAAGAAAACGAGGCTACCACTTTCGACGACTTCATAGACACTGCACAATTTGACGAGCTAGTTGCTGCAGTGAATGATCTGTGTGGATTCAAGGAAGAATCTCGGTTGGACATAGATGTCCCCTCCGTCGCCTTAAAGCTTGGCCACAGCATAAAACAGTGTGCGCAAGTTCTTAAATCATCAGCTCTGAGGAAAAAAGATGAGGCAGCGATAAGAGAATGCCAGAACCTCATTGGGGGTCAAAGAAGCAAAACAAAGCAGAAATTCTGCTACTAGCTGCAGACCTTATGCTGCTGAAAAATCACCTTGAAAAGAAGATGGCAGATCTTTCCAAGATTTTAAATGAAGGGGAAGAAATGCAAACCGCGGCTGGCCACTGGAGCAGCTTGGCTAAGACGACTCTGGCAAGAATAATCATCTTTAACAAAGAAGATCAGGGGAGACTGTGAACCTACAAATAGGGCAATTTCAGTGTCGCCCAAATTGGGCCAACTGCAGCACTGCTCTAAAGGCATCGTGGACAGCCTTGGAAAAGCGTCTTTGTGAGAGGTAAGATGTGAATCTGGAAAATCATCTATTAGGGCAAGGGAAGATGTATGGAAAGTCCGCGTTTTATGCCTACTCCATATTTTATACTTAGTCCGCCATCTCGCGGGGTTTTATTCTTGCCTTGTCAGTAGGCAAAGATGAATACAAAGGGCATTAAATTTCGCAATCAAAGTGCTCGGACGTTTCATAACAAATAAGGCAGATCTAATGAAACTCACACATCTGGATTAATCATACACTGTGATGCTATAAAGTGTTAGCACTTGTTTTAAAATTAAATCCTTAGGCCCAATCTAATAGGAATCACAGGCAAGCGAGGGAGGACAGTCCCAATCATACTGACACCTGACACAGGGGCAGCGGTAGAGCTGTTGATAGAAAGAAGGCCACAAGTTATTCCCAAGTCAAACACATACGTTTTTGCAAGAGCTACCAAGGGCTCTTTGGGTCATCTTCGTGGCTGGGACTGCATCTCAGCCAGCGTTACGGAAGTAAAGTAAATACAGAAGCCAGAGGCAATTACCAGCACAAAGCTGCGAAAATACATTGCGACTGTGTCACAAACTGCGGCATTGACGGAACTAGACGTGGGCTGGCTAGCATGCCACCTGGGGCGTGATATTAGAGTCCATCGCCAGTTCTATTGCCTTCACGAATCTACAAGGGAGTTAGCCAAGGTCAGCAAACTCCTTCTAGCAGTTGACGCGGGTAATATTGAACAGGTGCAAGGAAAGAGTCTTCTGGATATGTCAGTCGAAGGTATGTAAAAATATAGCCTGATTTGCATTTGAACGCCTATATGAGGATAAATTATATTTGGCGCATCTAGTCCTCCTATTTTCTCATTGTTGATAACCTGGTTTTCTAACAGACCTAAATAATGGAAATGACATCAGATAGGTGAATGACGAAACGGTATAACTAAATACTTGAACACATGGCATGTTCTTACTTCTCATTGATGTTCTACATGAGACCACCAATTAAAACAAATGTGGATTAACTTTTCCGAAAAAGTAATTGAAAAATGACACTTTCTTCTCTAATTATCTTTAAATACTGACAGATATTCTGGATACTTCAGTTAACCAGGAAAATATCAGTGAGTCTGAAGGTGGGTTCACAGCGTTCACCGCCGTAATAGTCTTAACGTGTTTCGATACAGTTTTTCAGAGACCATACCAATATTTTTCAATTGCCTTAAAAGGATTTTATGCTTGTTTTATCGCTATAAAATTTTCGCCAGTAATTGACTGTGGATTGAAGTTTGTCAAAACGTAATTTTAACTAAAATCGATATTACTATGACAACAATGAACAACAAAATTGGAAATTGATAAAAGCCAAATTTTGCGCAATCTAGACCTGCCACTAAAAATCCAACACTAGGAACTTTAAGTTTGGTGTTTAGCAAATAACCTCCATGAGAAGTGAAAAAATTCTGTATGTTTGAATTCAAATAAAACGTAAATATATTTCAAACCTCGTATTTTCAACAGCCGTGATGAGTAACTTCGGAGTGCTGCTTACCGTATTTTATCGGCTATAAGCCTAGACCCTAAAGTTTTAACTCTTAAACTTAATACGATCGTCTTCAAACATAAACACAAAACATTCAGCTATAAGCCGAGACTCAGTTCTTAAAACGTATAAGAGCTCATGAAAAATTTTAATCACATTTAGCTTTTAAAATCTGTTAAAATGAAATGAAAGAACGGGTTAATTATCCAAGGGCACGGGCAATTCGTTTGAAAAGCAAGGTGTCATGAATATTTAACGAAAGCTAGGCTTACCTCTCGGGAAACAACCGTATCAATATTGTTACCTACTCAATACAATGGCTAAGAGTAACAACAAATCACAGTTAAGCTGAATTTAATGTGATCCGATCAAATGAATAAAATTGAATTCACGGCTTGATCATATGAACATTCCGAGTTCAGAGACCTGTCTTTAACAATCCTGTGTCAATAGTCGTTCATTGTCAATCTGTTATCATGCCAAAAGCCCGTCGTACATCATGCAATCTGGCGTTCAAACTTAAAATAGTCGCCGATGCAGAAGCCGTCGGGAACAACTCTGAGATCGCGAGGGAATAAGGTAATATCATATTTCGATGCTAGGAAAGTTTGGTATATTTTCGTTCTTGCCATCTGTTAAAGCAATCTGCTTTCTCACCACCAAATATTTCAACTGATTTAAACGGTCGTCATTTCAATGTTGGCTGTTTTCTCAGCATGAGAATGTGGCTCTGTTTATATTCCAATTTTTTTCAGGCTCTGGCCAAAGCTCGGTGGAGACAAAAAAAAGAAGTAAGTTTGTTGTTCGTTTGCCACAAATGCATATAAAAAATGCACAATAACAGAACACTGAGAAAAATTATCGCTAAGGTTTTCCTAGCCTCCCCCGCAGGCTGTACAAGTTATTACGCAGAATCCAGTTTTAACAGCATTTTACCTCTGAAAGACATTCTTACCTTAGAAAAGTGAAACGCAACTTGTCAAACATTCATGTTACACTGGCTATTCCTTAACAATAGCAACTTCATTTAAATCTCCATTTGAATTTACTCCAACCAAAAGGAGATTGAAACCCGCCTTACCCAGCTACACAATTTACTTTGTTTCTCTCGTTCCCCCCACCCCCCGCCCACGATCCCTGGCATATTGCGGGCCTTCTCCTCACATCGTTTTGTGATACACGTGTTTTTAGCAAAACCATTTACATTTTGCGTCTCTCTTTTCAGGTCTCGTGGTAAAAAGCCCACAGGAACAGGATGAAAAAAGAGCTGTTTTGCAGCATTTGGGAGCGTTTATAATGTCTGAGGTAGCACCTGGGAAGGAGGCCTGTGAAGAGTGTATAAGAAAGAGTGACGGTGCCCTCTGCAGGCACAATTGGACTACAATCATTTAATAAGTAATTCGTAAAAAACGAAATAGACCAAAGAAAAAAAATGTTTAAATAAGGTCACCTTATTTTACTATTTTTCTTTTCTTTTGTCGATTTCGATTGTTTCTCTCTTTATTCAGGCTCGTAATATTCTTGTGTGGGGAGCCCATAGCGTGTGCTCGGCTACTTCTTGCACAAGGTTACTCTTGGCCTGTTTTAAAAAAATTTGCCATTTTCAGACTCCAAAAAATTCTTATTAACCTCAATATTTTTATGATTTACAGCTCCTACGCCAATATGGCGGCAGACTTACCTGTACAAGGGGCACCCAACACAATATGTTTTGCTTTGAATATCTGTTCGCAGAAGCAAATTTTATCAATAACATGCAGACTTAAGTCCTATGATATGTAGTGATATTGGGTCAGGTCAGGTCTAGTGCCTGCTACTGGTAACATTGTAACCCAGTACCACCTGCCGCATGGTCGGGTTGCCGGTGACTAAACCGACTCCCCCTCCAGCGTTACGCTGGTGAGGCAGGTGGCATGTCACCCTGCAGGACAAAAAACAAGACCCATAAAAGGGTGGATGAGCTCTATCTAGAGCCAACGGCCATTGTGCAAATTAGTTTTGCGGATATCTCTGGGAGGAAACCAAAAGAAATCCGGAATGGAGCCCATAAGACTAGTACAAGCTACCTTAGATGCTGTATGCGTGCAAGAAAAACGTGCAATTTGATGTTGCAAAACAAGTTGATGCTGCTGGTTTTGCCATCCTCGTTCAAGCTTGTCGATCAAACAACAAACCAGATTGTCGTTCCATGTCATTTTTTTTACCTGAGAATAACCGCCTAAAAATAATGGTCTACTCATGCTCAATGTCGTCCAACTGTGTTTGGCTGCAAATAATATTCTGTTCGAGCGTAAAGGAAACCATGCACAAAGATATTCATTAAACAAGAAAAAGCAAAGAACTGAAAAAGCCAGAAGTAATTATAGCGAAAACGAAATACAGAAGTATGTTGCCACTGTATCGGAAACAGCGGTTTTTTAAAAGGAGGGTCCTGAAGGGATAAAATGGGAACTGGGATTGGCCGGTTTTTGCACTGGGAAAATGGGATTTAAGCCACTGGGACTGGGATTTGGTCACTGGGAATGGGAATAAAATGTCAAAAATGGAAATGGGATAAATAGTTTGGAAACATGACCAGTTGAAGCATCGCTTATTTCCTGGAGTTAAGAAACGTCAGAAAATTGCTAATGCACCCTGTTCTAGTCAATTTGTAGCATTTTTATCTAGGTTTCCCCCAAATGGCCCCGATTTGCGGTTAACGATATTTGTGTACAGCAGTGCGTGTAAAACCAAAAGTCTACATGGCATGTGTATTTGTATGATACAAACAACATGGTGGGAGCTATGGCGGGAGCAGAATTGATGACTCGCACTGTTGTCGTAGATTTTAAGTACTTTTGTACTAAAAATGTAGTTACACACACAGAAAACTCCAAATTGAATTTACCCTTGGGTTGTTCAACAACTCAGATGGAGAAAGATTACGAAGAATGTGTGGCATAGATGAATCGAGTAGATTTTGCAAATCCAAATTCCCATTACAAACTGCCAACATCACATGTAGTTTCCTTACCTCACATCAAAATTCCAAAGCCAACCTCACAGAAGATAACCAGAAACGAGGAAACCAAAATGAGGGCTTGGGCTAAAATGTGGTCCACCTCTCCGTCAACAATGCCATCAAGCAAGGCCGTTTGTCCTGGCAGAGCTACAAAAGTATTCGCGAACAAGCTCAGACCTCCTTTACACATCAGGAACTTCGCTCC